GTGGAGAAATTCTACCTTGGAAAGATGTGAAGAAGCAGACCTGGGAAGTGGTGGAGGACAGTTGCCAGGAAAGCTGCTGATTGGCAGAAGGACTATCCAGGTTTCATCATGCGGATGTGCAGACAATAGAGTGGCACATGTGATGGTTCAGATATGAAGTTTCCCCCCAAAGCTCGTGTGTGAGGCAATGCAAGAAAGTTTAGAGGCGAAATGATTGGGTACTGAGATCCTCAACCTAATCTGTGCCTCAGTCCTCTGCTAGAGATTAACTGGGTGGTAACTATAAGAAGGTAGGGGGTGGCTGGAGGAGGTGGGTCATTGGGGGCTTACCTTTGGGGTTTATATTTTGCCTCTGATCTGCAGTGTGTTTTTTTCTGCTTTCTGGTGCTATGTCCTTAGCTGCTTTCCTCTACTCTACCATTCCACCATGATGCCCTGCCTCACCGCAGGCCCAGAGCAATRGACTCAGCCATCTATGGATGGAGACCTCTGAAACTGTGAGAGCCAAATAAACTTTTCCTCCTCTAAAATTATTCTTGTCAGGTCTTTTGGTCCTAGTGGCAAAAGAGYTGACTAAAACTCCACACATCTCTATTTTCCTCTCTTCTCCAGGGAGAACAATGATTATAGTCTTTCAGTTTCTATCAGAGAGGCAAGACTAGAGATAAGAAGGCCCACTTTTGAGGCTTACAAAGTCCCAAGCTACTTTGAAGTGGTTGAATATGTTTCAGGACCCTTGCACTAGCTATTCTCTGCCCAGAACACAGCATTACCAGATTTATACTCTCTCCCTCACTTCATGCAGACCTTGGCTCAAACGTGAACACCCCTGGAGAAAACTTCTCTRACAAATTATCTACATTCATCTCTCCATCGCATTGTAGCCCCCTACTGTTCTATTTTGCTTCAYAGTATTCAACACACCTGAAATTCTATATTATGTTTTTTTAGTTATTTCTGTTGGCTTCCCTAAAGGAATGTAAACTCCATGATGGAAGAAAGTGTTTTGCTCACTTGTTCTCCAATTGTGCTTGGCACTTGGAAGATGTTTAACAAATAATATTAGATGAATAAACAGTTACATAATGAGTGACCAAAGATGAGACCCCCATCTATGACCCCTCTGRCTTTAAGAAAAAGATTAAGGCTAAGGTAGAAAAACATTCCGTTGGTGCACCGGGATAACCCAGAGTCAGCCACGCACTTAGAATTTATAGTAATTATCTTTCTCCCCTGCTATTCTAGAAACTCCTTAAGAGGACCAACCTATAAGACTGATTCATCACCATCTTCCTGGTTACCTCAAACTATGCAGAAAACTTCTGTGATTTGGAAGGCTGAGGCAGGAGGATTCCAAGTTCAAGGCTAGCCTCAGTAACTAAGGAAGACCCCATCACAAAAAATAGAAAGGGATGTGGTTCAGTGGTAAATTTTCCCTGGGTTTAATCCTTGGTATCAAACAAACAACAACAAGAAGAAAGTATGCAGAAAGGAAGGCATCAAATTAATGTGTTGGATTTGGGTAAAACATGAAAAGCGGCTGAGGGTTAACCAGCTGTGAAAAGGAAGATGCTTCCAAGTAGAGGGAAGAGCAAGGCTGAGGCCATGTGGCAGGAGATAGCAACTCAGTCCTTAGTAAAAGAACAKACAGAACTAACAAATATGACCAGGATAGAGTCTGGTGAGGCTGGAGAGGTGGGTGGGTGCTGCCATGCTGAAGGTTTGTAGGCTTGGTGGGCAAGGTATTTCACCTCTCCTATAAGTAATGGAATGCTTTTCATCTGTGAGTGTGCTAGAGGGACATTGTCAATTTTGTCATCCCACAAACCTCTGGCTGCAGGATGTGGAGAGGCCACTGAGGAATTCGCCTTGACACAGGCTGCAGATGTGGAGTTGGATTTAGGGTCTCTGGAAGGTAAATTCTACAAAGGCTGGGGTCTCTGTTTCATTTGCTGCTATCTTCCTGGCATTGGTCTATGGAATAATTCCTGGCACACAGAAGTTTTACCCAATGTCTGTTGAGTGGAAGATGTGGTGGTTAAGAATGAAGGAAATTTCCTTGGTTTACACCCAAAAGACTTAAAATCAGCATAATACAATGACTCCCCACATCAATGTTTATAGCAGCTCAATTCACAATAGCCAAACTATGGAACTAACCTAGATGGCCTTCAACAGATGAATGGATAAAGAAAATGTGGCATACATGCACAATGGAATATTACTCAGCCTTAATGAAGAATGAAATTATGGCATTTGCAAGTAAATGGATGAAGCTGGAGAATATCATGTTAAGCAAAATAAGCCAATCCTCAAAAACCAAAGGCTGAATGTTTTGCTATGTGGATCTAATTCACAATGAGGGGTGGGCTGTGGAAAAACAGAGGTACTTTGGATTAGGTAAAGGATAGTGACAGGAGGAGAGGGGGTAAGGAGGGTAAGAAAGATAGTAGAATGAATTGGACATTATTATCCTATGTACATGTGTTATTACATGACCGGTATGGTTCTACATCATGTACAACTAGAAAAATGAGAAGTTATACTACATTTATGTATGATGTACCAAAATGTACCCTACTGTCATGTACAACTGATTAGAACAAATAAATAAATCTAAAAAAAAAAAAAGAATGGAGGAAATGGACTAGTTCAAGGGATTTTGACAGAGTTAAAATTAACAGGAAATGGTGTAGGACTGGCTGCAGAGTACGAGGTAGAGAGATRCCAGGAGGACTCCCAGGTTTCTTATTTATGTTTCTTTCCTTTCTTTCTATTTTGGTGATGAGGATTGAACCTACAGCTTCATGCACACTAGGCAAGCATTCTACCCCTAATCTACACCCATAGCCCCTCTTGCGAATGTTTCTCTATGGATGGAGAGTATTGCCATTTCTGGAAACAGGAAATAGCAGAAGATTCTATATTTTGTGTTTCTGGTCCTCTTTTTAAGCAGAATTAGAACTTCCTCCTCTCTGCTCTCCTGGGGAGGCCCCACTGAAGCTGTTCTGTTCTCTTCTGGTTGCTCTGTTCTCTGAGCCATTGAACAGCTGAGGAGGGGGGTCTAGAGGACAGCACAAAGTAACTCTTGGATCGCTGAAGTCTTTTTGTGTGTGTGTGTCCTGGGGATTGAACATGGGGCCTTATGCATGCTAGGCAAATGCTCTACCACCGAGCTGCATCTCCAGTCCTTTTTATTTTGAGACAGGGTCTCACTAAATTCCCTAGGATGACTTTGAACTTGCAATTCTCCTGCCTCAGCCTCCTGAGTAGCTAGGATGACAGGTGTGAGTCACTATGACCCATGAGGACATTAAAAAGAAAAAAGTTAGAAGTGCTTTTGCTTTTGGGATATAAGCTACCATGTTCTATAGTTACCATGTCATGAAAGAAGTCAGGAATGGGCTGATAATGGCTCTACAGACTAAAATCAGCATAGAGAAGGGGTCTTGGTATATAGCTTGCCAGTTCCTTGGCCCTACCCATTAAGGCAGGACCAGCCAGAGACAGTTGATGGTCATGACTGCTGTGTTCAATGGGGCTGGATGAACTCAGAACCATTGACTTGGAAGAAGACTTCGAGGGAAGTTACAGAGTGACTGGTATTACTGTAGTACAAGAAATGTTGCTGAGTTAGATCTGGAGATGGAAAAAGGAGTGGATCATGTAAGGGAAAGAAATGAATAATTATGATGCTTCCCTTTAAGAAATAGCCCTTCATTCTTCTTTTACTCTATGGCTGGTTGTTTGAAGAGGTCTGCTAAGTATTGGATTTCTTTGAATAGAAATGTGAAAACAAACATTTAGTTTTAGGAAATAGAGAATCAGCTCTTTTCTCTTTGGGATGCAGTGCACTACAGTAGTACCAGACAGCCTGGGTTCAAATCTTACCCCCACCAGCTAACTGTGTGATCTTGGGTAAGTCATTATGCYTCAGTTTTCCCAATATTAAGATGAAGAAAATAATAGACTTAATAGAGTTGTTATGATGATGAATGAGGTAGTATATGCAAAATGTTTAGTAGGTGCTCAGTCAGTACTAGCAGCTATTATTATTTAAATTAGGAACATTTTAGGAAATTGTCAAAGGGCATGTTTGAGGATGTCTCAAACGTTGCGTATCTGTCATTTCCAGCAGGTTGGGATTGCCACATGTGTCTCTGACTAGTCCTATCACGTGGGCATGACTGTCATGAAATGGGTTGAAGTAGGAAGGCAGAGGCTGGCAGGGAGACCACTTTGTTTCTAAACAGCAGGCAGATGGTGTGTATTCTGTTTGCGCAGGAACATGCAGGATGACATTATCAATTTCGCCTGTATGACACAGAGGTTATGTTTTGTGTTTGTTTTGTTGTCGGGCAGGGCAGGGTAGGTGGCAGAGAGGGAGGGAATACTTACTGGAGTTAGCAAGTTTGTTGTTTCCCTTTTAGCTATTTGTTTTCGTTTGTTTGTTTGTTTCAGTGCTGGGGATGGAACCCAGGGCTTCAACCATGCAAATGCTCTACCACTGAGCTCCACTCCCAGCCTAGTTATTATTTTTTTATTTGGGGGGAGGTACCAGGGACTGAACTCAGGGGCACTCAAACACTGAGCCACATCTCCAGCTCTATTTTGTGTTTCATTTAGATACAGGGTCTCCCTGAGTTGCTTAGCATCTTGTTTTTGCTGAGGCTGACAAACTCGATATCCTCCTGCCTCAGCCTTTCGAGTCATTGGGATTRCAGGTGTGAGCCACCACCCCCAGCTAGTTATTAGTTTTGGAAGCATGACAAATGATCTTACTTCAGGGCTGCTGAGATGGTTAAATTAAATAACACATGGGGAGATGCTTTTTTAAAAAAGTACTTCATATATACAGTATTTATTTGTGTGATTTGTTTTTATCATTTTATAGTTTGATTAGCTAGACACAGATAAGGTCATAAAAAATTTACTCCAGAGGTCCAAGAAGCACAAAATAGAAAAATCGAGTTTTAGGAAAATAGATAATAATTGCATACCATTTCTGTGAACCGATCAGCACAAGCCATTCGAACTTGTTCTGGCGTGGCTGGGCTCTTCACCGTGAAGTTCTCCGCTGCATCTCTTTCTCTGCGCACTGCAGCCACCGCATCCATGATGGCAAAGAACACAGATGACCCCAGGAACATTCCAGACTCCCCGAGGCCCTGAAAAAAAGCATATTTGTTTTAGAAATTTAGACTTTAGCTACTAGAGGGCAGAGCCAGGTCTTGTTCACCATTATATCCTCAACTCATGACATARAGCTTTGCACAAATTGGTTTTCCATGAATGTTTGTTGATTGACTTATTGATAAAATGAACCTTGAGTACTTTTTAAAATCCCRGTATTACCTAAACTTCTCAGATCTTTAATCCTGGCTGTGTTAAGCCTTTGTTCTCTAGGAACAAAGGTGGTGGTGGGGAACCTATTTAGTAAAGATCATTTAATGGATTGAACTGGCCAAATTCATAAGCAGAGAAAAAAATGCCTAAGTATGATTCTAGGATCTGAGGAGGCAGGGTGCTCTGGAGCACTTAAGAGAGTTCGCAAACTTCAGTCTGCAAGGAACAGGCAGGTGATGCAAGTGAGTGAAGTGAGCAGCTGAAGGACAATAAGGAGTAGTGGGGGTGATGGTGAAGTGGAGGTACTTATCTAAAGGGGGCCACTGTTCCTTGTCTTCCAGGAAGATAGTTGAAATTACCAGGTCATCCAATTTCTGGTATTTGTATTTGTTTTGTTTTGTTTTTGTGGTACTGGATTGAACCCAGGGGTGTTCTCCCACTGAACCATATCCTCAACCCTTTTTAGTTTTTGAAACAGGGTCTTGCTAAGTTTCCCAGGCTAGCCTCTAACTTGGATTCTCTTGCCTCAGCCTCCTGAGTTGCAGGATGTACCACCACAGCCATCTAGGTATTCGTATTTCACATCTTTGGGCAAAGTTCAGTCAGTGGGCTATCAATTTGCAATTTCYCAGTTAGAGAGACTGAGTCTGAATCCTAGGCTGTATCCTCTGTTTCTCTAGGTAGATGAGATCATCTCTCGAAGCCTCTCTTCCTTTGTCAATGAGACGCAGGCAGTGATGCCTACCTTATGGGATGTTGTGAGGGATGAGTAAATTCAGAACACARTGCTAGGGCTGGTACCCGGGGGTCCTTTTGTAATTACATAGAACACTCAGCAGAGGACCAAACCCATGATTTTCTTGGGTCCTCCTGGGAGTGGTTGGCGACAACCACGAGCACTCAGAGTTTCCCAGCTGCCTTATAAACTCTTGGTCTGAAAGATGCTCTCTGTGGGCTCTGAGCAGCCTTTTGCTTTTGCCCCCTGGAGTGATTTCAACTCTAATGAGACTCTGAAGCCCCTTTGATTCTCTCCCTTTCAGATTTGCCCTGGCCTCATCTCCATACACCCAGAGGACATTCCTGGGCTCAAAGTGGGATCCAGTTTGGAAACSATGTAATTCCTGCAGATATATTTGTACTTTCTTTCTTTTTAAGTCAATTCACCACTCCTAGCAAATCGTCTCCCAAAACATTTTAAAGAAAGCTTTACAAAACATCTCAGATCTCAGTGAAGTTTTCCTCTGAGGGAGTTTTTTTACATAATTTGCAATGCAAACAATCTCGACCTTAATTTTAATTTGTAATTTCATTATGTTAGCCATTATTAAAGGCTGGCTTATGATTTTGCTTCCTGACATGATTGACATTTGGAGTCAGATAATATTTTGATTTGGAGCTGTTTAGTTGCAACCCTGGCTTCTGCCCACTGTCAGTAAAATCCCTTCACCCCCAGTCTTGACAACCATAATGTCTCTAGATATTGCCAGTGTTCTTTTGTGATAAAATCACTTTCCCATAGACACACACATTGATATCCACTGTTCTTAATTCATTTCTGGGTGTGGCTGAGGACTGAGCCCCACAGAGGTGAGTGACTTACCATAGGGGGTGGTGGAGTTGGGCAGGAACCCAGGTCTTCTGAGGCCCCTGTCTAGAATTCTGTCCAGAATACCATGGTTTTCTGAGATTTCAGTAGCACTATGCCTTCAATCCCACTTAATTTTGTAGTCTTAAAGTTTTTTTTTTTTTAACAAAAACACTATTCTCTGAAGAAGGCAAAGCTTTTTGATGAATCCTGAAGTTTTCAATAAGAGAGGATATTAATAAACTCCTTGGCTATGATCGCCACTGGGTGGATCATTCATCTTCCCTGAATCTCAGTTTTTCCTAGTTGATTCACCTCCATGTGGTTTGGTCTATATAACAACTAACATTTATGTGTTATTTTGTCCACTGACTTACTTTGGCTATGTTACAGGATCCGTGGTAATTTTGGATGCTTACCTTGGAGGAATAGATGGTCAGTGGGGTTTGTGATGATGGCAAGAGGGAGACATTGAACTCCTCTGGGACATCTGTGATGGTTGGAATTTTGTACTCATCTGAGCTCCGTGAGTACAGGACACCTTCTGGGGAATACTGCAGCTCTTCAGTTGTATACAGGCCCATTCCCTGAATAAACGCACCTTCAATCTGCAGGGGGATAATTTCAAGCTTTGTGACATTACAGCCTTTTATGAAGGCCTTTTTCTGCACCACAACTGTGTTCAGGAAGGGATATCTCTTTAAGTGGGCTAGCACCTACCTGCCCAATATCAATGGCCGGATTTAGGCTGCAACAGGCATCCATGACAATGTCCGTCCTGGTTTTCTGCCCAAAATAAAAATGATCTCCCCATAAAAACTTGTATTAAAAAATACAATTTTCAAGTTTATTCAGACAGTCTCCAGTTATTCCCAAACTCCAGCTGGTGAATTAACACTGCACTGAACTCCATCAACAYTGGAGGTGGCAAGACATCTGCTAAGCTCTTCAAACTGAGTACCAGGACTGCCAGTGACCCTGGAAGAACTTTTCATGGTTTTGACTCCTCTTAAGGGACTCCAAAGTCTACAGCATGTTGGTGTGTTTAAGTGAGTCACTTAGTAAATAATTGAGCTTGGTTGTGCATCTAATTTCAACCTGGATTTATCGTTGTAATGGAATTCATGAGCTAATCTAGTCCTCATGATAATCGGACGCAGGTGGCATTATTGCCATTTGACTGAGGAAATCATGTAGCCATGATGTCATGTATGAGTTAGGGGGCTTGCAAGATCTAGGAAGGTATCAAAGAAAAATGTTGAGGCCAACCTAGACTTTGCTACTCTACTTTCTACTCTGAGAAACAGCACACTAATCTGGCCCTTCTGTTTCGGCACAGGGTATGTGCATGCAGGTTKTTAGAGAGTCACAAGGAGCTCCCAAGTGTCTATGGTCTATCTCAGGAATACCTCTGGGGTTTCCTTCTGCCCCTGTTTCCAGTCCTTATTCAGGTAATGTCATTCTCTGTTTGAGTTTAATACCTGTTCTCCTACTTCTTATCTAGCCTTCTGAGTTTGGCATTCCTTTTGACTCTAACCTTGGCCTCTCAGGCATTGGGACCAGCCTTTATCTATCCTCAGCATGGAGAGGGAAGGGAACAGTGTGGGCCTTCAATTTACTTCTATCTTGAAACCTGATATGCTTTGCATTATGGGAGTTGGACAGGGAAAGAGATGACTGTGCACTAACACTGAATCAGTGGCCTGCGTTAGTACACTCACCACAAACAYAGTAGCAATAGACATGCCTTATAACTGGCAACAGTACGCCTTCATTTGCTTTTTCTGAATTCTCTTTAATTAAAAGAAGTTTTGCATCTTCAAGGAATCAATTATTTTAAGGGATCAAAGTGATACTGAAATTATTGAACCTTTAATTATAAATGTAAGCTGGAAGGAAGAAGGAAGAACACATTTTAACTTTTTTGGCACCATAAATTCTGGAAGATCTTTATGTGGTTTGTTTCTTTAGAGATTTATTCTGAGAGCCTCAGAAAGAATTGATACTGTGCCTCTCCCCTGACTCAGGCAATGGCAAGGCCCTACTGAGGTGGATGGCGCAAGGCGTCCATCCTCTGGAGGAGCGCAGTATGTTTCTGGGAATGGGCTGATTTGTTTTTGTATTCCTTTAATAAGTATAGTCGTGATTTCTCATATGACTATTAAGTATGAAGGAAAAATCATGACTTTCCTAATTAATGCAACTACTTCTAAAGCATAGATCTGTTTGCTCTAAATGAAATGATTCAGCTGTGGAGCGTAAATTGTTAATGTCTAATGAAAAACTCCCTGTATTCCTGTCAAGGAAGTTTTTGAGAAATTAAATTAAAATCTAGAGAAGAAGAATTAATGTTAAGAAGACAGATTAGTGCTTAGTACTGGGCAACTTGTTCTTGTTCCTGTGCACAATGGTTTGTGCTCTTACTCTTGTTTGATTAAAATTAATAACAAGTCAACCACTTGCCATAACCATGGCACCGGTTCCAGTCAGTAAGTCAAGAAAGAATAGTCAAGGTATAGGCCAATAGTTTGGGACATTTGTACTATTATTAAAAGTTAACTAAGCAGAAACAGCTCAAAGCAAAATGCAAACTGAAAGTACAAATGCTTGCTTATGCATAAGCCAAGATACATTCTTCTATTTTAATTGTAGCTACGTAATATTTAGTTTCTTTGAATGATTCCTGTTTTGTGACCACAAAGTACTGTGAGCCTGCCAAAATGAAAAGTATATATGATCAACTTCACAAGTAAAGATTGGGATCAACATCTTCACTTTGGTGTCTATGTTGTTTCTCTACCCCCTCTTTCGCCGACTCTTCACCATCCATTCGTCTCCTGAGACCCCCTGTTGGAGCTGGTCTCAGACAAATTGACAGATTTGTCTGTCAATGGCCTGAATGTTGCATGGGATACAGAAAATTATTTGTTATTTAGTTGAAATTCAAATTAACTGGGTGGTCTGTATTTTTGTTTGCTAAATCTGGCAACATAACTATCAGAGTATGGTGTTTGAAAACTGGTGTGTACCTAAAAACAGCTTTCCATCAAATTGGGTACAGGTATGAAGAAATACTGACATTTGGGCTTTGAAGGACCCTAGAGCAGGGCGCCCCAGGTTAGTCACATGCTGCAATGTGCTGTGCTAATATAATTATCTAGGTGTGCCATGATGTGAAAGACGGTAGGAAGCACAATCAGATGAGCAATCTGTGATCACATGAGTTTGCTTCTTAAAAATGATCTAGAATAAAAATGGAGACACGATATTAACATACCCTGAGGATACCCTTRAATGGAATGTGAAGACGACTGCTTTCCAGATGGCCCTTCATTCACTGTATTTTTAAATTTTTTATTTCATAAATTTATTTGATTTACTGTATTTAAAAAAATTCATATAATATTTAAATTGGTGGAGAAGTTAACCCAAAATGGGACAGTAAAAGACATTTTGATATATTTTTATGTTAGTATTTGCAAAGCCCTTTCTATTCTACATAAATTAGTCATTTCTATTTTTGGGCAAGGTTGCCAAAAGGTTTTATTGGAATAATTTGTGTATAAAATTAATTTAATTTTTTTTGCACTGGGGATTGAAMCCAGGCCACTTTATCCCTGAGCTACATCCCCAGTGCTTTTTATTTTTTTTGTACATGGAATTTAAAAGTGTAAGTGTCATTGGTGCATCCCATAAACTTTCTAACAATTTAACACATTTTCATTGTACTATCTTCTATTTAAAGCTTCTATAATCTCTGTTCCTAGAATGGTACCTGTAGTATTCTGAGGGTGTAAGTTGTTAACTTTAGGTTAAATGCAACTCTGTCTCTAATAAGTTTCTCTAATGCTCAATTAAATGCCAAACATGAAAAATATTTTCACACCTTCCTTCTCCCAAGTTTTTCTTTAAAGATCAGTAGTACCCTTGGGAAAATGGACTTTAAGAAACATTAGCCCCTTGGTTTGTGCTTTCAAGATATTTACTTAAGACTATTTGCTAAATGCCTTATATCTTCAGATGAGAGAACTTGTACCTCCTCAAGAAATAGAAGCTTCTGGATAAAACTTTGGAAAAATGATTTTTTGCTGAAAGTGAATAAATATATTTAATACATTAGTCAAATTTGGACTGTCATGAACAATTCCTTCTTGACCATTAAATGGTCTTTTTAAGAGGAAATTACAAGACAAGGCTGGATCTCTGGACATTCCAATGGAATTGAAAGAATCTTGACACTTATTTTTCTATTCTTTTCATTCTTTTTGAGACAGGGTCTTGGTAAGTTGTCCAGTCTGGCCTTGAACTTGCAATCCTCCTACCTCAACTTCCCCAGTAGCTAAGATTACAGGTGCACGTCCACTACGCCCAGTTGAACTGAAAAAAAAAAAAATCTTATTTTTGTTATCTGAGTGTTATATAATAATGTTGAGCTACTTACTGTAAAATGCAATTTTGTTGTTGATTTTACTTGTCAAGAAGAATATTAGACTTGACTTACCTTGTGAGCACCAGTTAGGCAATCAATTTCAACTTCAGAACAGGCAACTCCATAAACATAGTATGGAAATGGGTCTCCCTCCCCCTTCTCCCAGTCCATGAAGGCCTTGTAGCCTCTGAGGGAAGAAATAAAACCCTTTAGCTTGGGAGTGGAAGGTGAAAACAATAATGATTCATTTTAAAAATTATCAGAGTTTTATGATAGTATTTTATTTGATGGCGGATGTTCATTTAAACTGGCTTTTTTGTTTGTCTGTTTGTTTTAAAACCAAGAATTGAACCCAGGTACATTTAGCTAGAATCACATCTCCAGCCGTTTTTATTTTTTATTGTGAGACAGGGTATCACTAAGTTGCTTAAGGCCTTGATAAATATATGAGGCTGGCCTCAAACTAGCAATTCTCTTGCTTCAGCCTTCTGAGCTGCTGGGATTACAGGAGTGTACCATCAAGCCCACTGAAATTGCTACTATGTGTTTACAACCTACCTGGTTATCGTTTGCCTCATTTTACTTCCTGTGCTACACAGGTAGAAGAAGCCAATGGACTCTTTTGGCCTGGACCTCACAGTGGGTCTCCATGTTGAAATCTGAAGTTTGAGCTCAAGCCCTGCCAGTACATTGGAAATCTCAATGGATTTTAGTCAAGTGTTTCCAGTGGGACCTACAGACTGTGTTACCCAAAGTCATAGGGGACAGATGATAACTCAGCCTGGTTTTTTTTAAAAAAAAAAAAAAAGAAAGAAAGAAAGAAAGAAAGAAAAGAAAAGAAAAAGTGGGGCCAGTAATTCAGAGTTGTTTTTTTTTTTTAATTTTTTTAAGTTGTTGATAGACCTTTATTTATTTATTTAAATGTGGTGCTGAGAAACGAACCCAGTACCTCACACATGCCAAGCAAGTGTGCTACTGCTTAGCCCCAGCCCCAGTAATACAGAGTTTTAATTTATGCTGGAATGTGTATTCAGACTGAGGGCTGGATTGTCGTCTTCCTGCGTAGATGAACTCAGGAATTTGGAACTCATTGCATATGTGCACTGCGCCAGGCTGTTGCCTATTTCCCCCCCATGACATTGCTTTGCTATTTCATTTTGTGTGTGCATGTGTAATTTGATGGTTTATTTCAACAGATTATAAAAGCAATGGCTTCTACTTCTTCTTCTTTTTTTTTTTTTTTTTTTTTTTTGTGGTGCTGGAATGGAACCCAGAAGTGCTCTCCCACTGAGTTACACCCCACCCCCACCTTCAGCTCTTCACTTCTTGAAAGTGACTACCAGTTCTCTTTGTTCTATTCAATTGGCTTGCATTTACCAAGACTCTCCCCACTGACAGACACTGCATAAATGATGATTATGATTATCACCTTGCCCATCATCTTCTGCCCTGCTAGGAACTCCAAAAGAGAAAATTTCCATCATAAAGAAAGGGAGGTTTGTGCAACTCAGTTGCAAGTTATTTCTAATGATAAAATATTCCTACTACTCACAATAAAGGATATAGTAAATAATGGTTAGATAAGTCAAATTGAGTTTGTTAGGCCTAATATATTTTTATTATTAAATATTTCTTTAAAGATAAATCAAAGGCCTATGTGAAATCACAGAATTTTGAGTTTAGAAGAACTTCAGCAACCATACAATAAAATCTTAATTACAGATGAGAGAATTTAGGCCCAGAGCAACTGGGTTACCTCAAATTTTCTTAGCTGAGTTAAGATACTTTAGTTTTAAGGCTTGGGCAGGGGCTCAGCGGTAGCACACCAACCTAGCATGTGTGAGGCACTGGTTTTGATTCTCAGCACCACATATAAATAAATGAAATAAAGATCTATTAACAATTTAGAAAACTTAAAAAAAAGATACTTTAATTTTTACCTGAAGTATCCAGTGGCTGAGAGACTGATTCTTTGCTCAAAGGCTGCTTCTATCTGCAGAATGGGCATATGTAGTCGATATACCATTTGATAAGTAAAAATGAAAAAAAGTCTATATTATCAAAATTGACATCAGATTGTTGCTGGTGCTTTGCCCTTAATAGTATACTTATCATAGTAATTTATCCTCGGCTGGCATCATGACAATTTCTCTCTGATTGAGTTTCTTTTCTTAAATTTATTTTTTTTATCTTGTTTGTTCTTTTTAGATATACATGACAGTGGAATGCATTTTGACATTATATACATAGATGGAATATAACTTATTCTAATTAGGATCCCATTCTTGTGGTTGTACATGATGTGGAGTTTCACTGGTGGTATATTTATTCTGATTGAGTTTAGAAGTTTGTATTAAACAAAGGTAAACTGGAAACCTGCTTCATATTCATGTTATATGGGCTAAATTCACAAGTTATTTGGGCTTCTTTTCTAAGTGTTAAAATTCTAGTAAGTATATGTACATAAGTATGCCCTGGCATRCCTTTCTCAATCTTTCTGCCCTTTCACAGAAATCCACTCAATTGGAGAATAACTTTCTCGGGGGAAGAAGCATGCTGTAGCACTGTGACAGAGACTTAGAGAAACTGTCCTATGTGGACTGACTGTGCGCTACTGTGACACTCTCTAAGCACTGCTTCCGATTATTTCCTCATTTGTAATAACAAATGCAGAGGAACACTTACCCAGTTTTCCCATGTGCCTTCTGGATTTTTCTTAATGATTGGCTCAAGGCGTTTCAGAAGGATCTGACAAGCATTCTTAAAGAAATAAAGAAGACAGCCACATCAATGTTTATAGCAGCTCAATTCACTATAGCTAAACTGTGGAACCAACCTACATGCCCTTCAACAGATGAATGGATAAAGAAAATGTGGTATATATACACAATGAATATTATTCAGCCTTAAAGAAGAATGAAATTATGGCATTTGCCATAAATGGATGGAGCTGGAGAATATCATGCTAAGCGAAATAAGCCAATCTTCAAAAACCAAAGGCTGAATGTTTTCTCTGATAAGTAGATGCTGATCCATAATGGCTGGGGCCGGGTAGGAAAGAATAAATGAACTTTGGATTGAGCAGAGGGGAGTGAGGGAAGGGAAAGGGTGTGGGGATGGGATGGATGGTAGAATGAGATGGACATTATTACCCTATATATATGTATGATTACACAAACAGTGTGACTCTGGACCATGTTCAGCCATGTTCCATTTGTGTTCAATGTGTAAAATGCATTCTACTCTCATATATAACTAATTAGAACAAATTAAAAAATTAAACAAGAAAAGAAATAAAGAAAAAAATGCACATTAGGAAAGAGCCGAATGGTAAGGGTTTGTGTGAAAGACTATTCATTGATCATTCATTTGGTCAGAAAATGTTTATAAAGGGCCTGCTCCTGCTAATCTGGGAACAGAGATAACACAGCCCCTGCTCTTAAGTTTCTGTTACTGGAGGGTTTTTTCCACTCTTCATGATATACTTCCTGTGAAAATATGGATTCAACTGAATTTATATTCCCAGATCTTCTTTCTTAGATGAATCTGATTTTTAATTCCTTCTTATGCTTTTTTACATCTTTATTCTATAATTTCTTTTGCATTTTCCAGCAACTAAAATAAATGGAATAAACATTTCATTTTCCTTCAAATTTGTGCTCTTCAGTCTGAAGCAATGACATGCTAATGACCCTCCAGGTCTGAAACACTGAACTCTCTGTTCATCCTTCCATCTGTTCATCCACTTACCATCAAATTGCTACAATGAAGGCCTTGGCTTTGGGTTTGAAATGAGAACATAAGAAACTTGACCTATAATAACCTAGATCCACAAAATTTCTAATCCTTAAAATAGAAACCTGAAACTCAATATGCAGGAAGATAGATTAACACTTAGTTTGAGTTGACAACTCCCATACACACTGACCTGTTTCCCTCCTAGGTTGGATTCTACCCCAAACTGGATCTGATGAATTTGAGGTTTTTCACAAATTTGTTCTGAGCAAAATAGAGTTCTTTCTTTTTGACCCTTTTATATGTCACCATATAGGTAAGACTGATTGGAAATCAGTGCTTCTGGGTGGCAACTATTCAGTGTCCAGTGTGGCGGGGTGGGGGTGGGGGGCAGGAGATATGCCTCTAATAATGTTTTAATGAAAAAGTGAATAGTTTGTAACAGAAACTTTATGAACACAGTATCTTTTACTTTAGAAGTATATGCAATCAGCTGAGCGTGGTGGAGCTCAAGAGGCTGAGGCTGGAGGATGGAGAGTTCAAAGACAGCCTCAGCAAAAGCGAGATTCTAAGCAACTCAGTGAGACAGTAATAAATACAAAATAAGTCTGGGGATGTGGCTCAGTGGTCAAGGGCCCCAGAGTTCAATCCCTGGTACCAAAATAAATAAATAAATAAAAATTTAAAAAGTATATGCAATCAGATATTTGAATTAGAGACTAGGAAGTCATGATTTTATTCTGAAATAGTGCAAATTTAGTGCTTGTTAAAGACATCAATTAGAAAATAAGTACAAAGGAAAGCTGAGTACTCTGGGTAGAACCACACTGATGATAACACTATACCTGCACCATATGTGCTTGGCTGGAGTTTGGCTGACCTGCCTGCCTGCCTGTAAGAACTTGCTTGTGCCAGGGGAAACTAGCACAGCTCTGTTTTATGATACTGAAATTTCTTTTGTGTCTCCCAGGAACAGAGATTCCCTGTTCACCAAAATTCTTTCTCCCTGCTTCCATGGTACCTACGCATATGGTTTCCCACTACTCTACATTTCCCAACCTCTCTTGCAGTTAGACACGGTCCAAGACTAGTTCTGCTTATAGATTATGAGTGGAAGTGACTTGCATCTCTTCCAGGTCTGGCCTGGAGTCTTCCTCATGGGCCCTTCCTTGAATATTGGAGTGATGGTGCTCAAGGCTACCTTGAAAGCCCCTTGTTGTAGATGATGGAGCCACTATCACATCTGGGCATGTGAATGACCAAATGCTCTCTCTGGACTGATATGTGTGCAAGAAAAGGACTTCTGTTGTGTTTGAGCCATTATATTCTGCATCTATTTTTTCACTTCATGTTAGCTTACTCCAAGTAATATACTCTCTGTTTTTAAAAATTTTTATATTGAAGAGTTTATTTGAGCATTTGAGGACTCGTGAATCAGACAGCATTTGACATCCTGATACACTCTCTTGACATTTTGGTTATCCTATGATCATGTTAGTGACACGGATGATTTCTCTGAAGCTAACTGCTATACCTTTATCCAGCTAAGAAAACAGGAGATTTGGGGAAAGCACACTGGGGAAAGACAGGAGAGATCACCTGCACAGCTCTGCCATTGACATCTGCACCGACGGACGCTGCTGTTGCAATTGTATTAGGCACTGTTGCCGTGCTTGTTTCACAGATATGCAGATAAGACATGGGGACTTTTAATTCACGGCTGGCCACCTATGGGAAAGGGAAATATTTTCAAGTCCAGAGGGATTTCTATGAAGACTTAAGTCATTACTTTTCCTTAATAATAAAAAAATTACATTCATGATAGACTTTGAAAACCTAAGCTAATATGTTTTTAAATAACTTAAATATGCATGCATGCATTAATTTAATTTAATGTATGCATTAAAATAACTTTTCAATAGTACCTTACTCTGGTTTTTAAGGGTTTTTTTTTTGTCTTGATAATATGTCAAAGTGCTTTTTCTTTTCAAATTTCTGCCTTTAGAACATTAAAGTTGAGATTTTTCAGGAACTTATTTGTTGGAGTGATAGGAAGAAATTGAGACAGATGATGAATAGATAGAGATTAATTAGATTGATTGACTCAAAATTTGCTCTGAAGTCTGTTGGTGTCAGATGAACTTGGAACGACTGTGAGGTCTTCTTTCTTGCCTTCATCTCCTCTTAACTTTAGTTTATTCCTTTTTTTTTTCCATTTGTTCCCTCTTGTTTATACTTCTCTAGTATTTGCTCTTTGTGGTCTTATTTTCTGTTTGTTTTCTTCTAGCTTCTCTAGGAAATACATGTAGAAGTTAAGATATTTAATCAGAAAGAAATGAAAAAAAAGAGGAGCAAAGAAATGGAAAGGAGAGAGGTAGGAAGAAATAAAAGCACTATTTTGGCTGCTGTCATCTTTTTTTGTGTTTGTTTTTTTAAAAACACCTTCCCAAGATGTCTTTAGGTGTGTATCTGTTCTTGTCCCCAAATGCCAATCTTTTAATTAAGGCCACTAACTATTGAGTTTCCCCACAAAGATGCAACATTAAGAAAAAAAAAGAGAAAATATCATTGTTTCTTAGCTGTGAAAATCCAAAAAGAATGTACTGGTTCATTCAACTGAGAAGGACAGATGGAGTTAGTGTCAGGTTATGTCTGCAGGTAGGAACTTTATGTTCTTTTAAGTTCTCTTGGCCTCTTGCATTATTATTATTATTTTTTTCTACATGTTCCTTACAACAGTAGACAGGCTTTTTACATGGCACAGAATTGCCAGCCACTGCGGGCCTACAGCAAAATCTCTAGCATCTACCTGTCTGGGACACTGATTGGCTTGCATGAGTCACTCCCTCTCTTCCTGCAGCAGGTGAGGTTTGGAATTGGTTAGGCCCAGATCTTGCAGCTATATCAGTGGCAGTTGTGGGAGCAAGGAGGACGATGGGGTTAAAAGGAAACTGAACTGAGGAGTACTTTAGAACCATGTAAAATGTGGTTCTAATATTCTGATAATGAAAATATTCTGATAATGAAAAGTTCTAAATGTGCACTGTAACAATCGAATACATTTGTCACAAGGTTAAATGTATTCAATATAGGGGATTATTCTTTTATTCTTCTAAGATATTCTTCCTAGTTTCCATGTATGTGTATATATTAACATATCCTTTAAAAATATAGGATGATAGTTGACRAAATACTTGCTCTTCAAATAAAATGCCAGCAACCTAACATTGTTGTGTGAAATAAAAAATTATACCTACTGGACTTAAAATAGAATACCTGAAAAACTCCTCCTCTTGGTAAACCAGCATGGAACACCCTCCATATGCTCTATGGGCTCATGAGTGGCATCTTCACTAACAACCGCCTCCATCCCTATGCCCTGGAGCAGTATTACACACAAATGGGATTTCTGCCACCTCAATAACTGTATTTTGTATGTAAGAAGCCTTTCAACTGAATAGTCAGGGTCTTAAGAGTTTGAATCATCATTTACCCAAATTTCAGTCATGTCAACAATGTGTTAGAAATTATTGATTTAATTACACTTATTTTACCTGCAGCATTTTGGTGTGAATCCCTTGTCCCAGTTCGTTGCCTCCATGTGTGACCAATACAGACCCATCTGTGTAGATATGAACAAGTGCAGCTGCCTATAAAACAATCCAGAAGGCACAGCTCAGTGCAAGGTGGCACTCAGGAAGTTTAATGTAAGACATGAGGTGGGGAGCTGGGTGCTGTGGCACATGCCTGTAATCTCAGTGGCTCAGGAGGTTGAGGCAGGAGGATTGAGATTTCAAAGCCAGCCTCAGCAAAAGCGAGGCACTAAGCAACTCAGTGAGACCCTGTCTCTAAATAAAATACAAAATAGGGCTGGGGATGTGGTTCAGTGGCCTGAGTTCAATTCCCAGTATCCCCCTCAAAAAAAAAAAAAAAAGAAAAAAAAATCAGGTGGGGAAATACATCTCACAGAGCATTGAGGGTCAGAGAGGCAGGGTTTTCTGGTACAATTCTCAAGCTTACTTCTGGTTTGTGCAAAAAGTCACCTGTAAAGCAGTTTAGGAACCCGGGCAGTCAGAACCCTTTTGGAAACCTCAGGAGTTTTAAGTATTGGTTCCAAATGTTTGAAAGTTGGCTCCTGCTTAAAGTCCCTGGCTGACCATAAAGCACATGAATTTAATACTTTATCAGCTCTACACATATGAAAAGGAATATGACGTGGTTCTTCTTCAAGTAGTTCATAACAAAGTGGGGAGACAGGGTAGAATCCAGGTATCATAGTATACCATGATCAGTGACACKCTGAGATATAGGGGCCCTGGGAGACCTCAGCAGACAGGTCCAACTTCTCCCATGCTGCTCAGGGTTGGATTCTCTGATGTGACAACTGAATGGAGTCAGGAAGGAGAGAAGGGTTTGCCAGTGGACAAGGTAGGCAAAATCTCCCTATTGCCTGTGAGGGAACACCCTGCTCCTATTACAACATAAAGCCYTTTGGTTCTGTTTTTGTTGCTTTTTTCCAGCTTCATCCCTTCCCTTGCCCCACTGCTGTTCCTCTCTGACCTGGACTCTTACTTATGCTGTTCTCTATTCCTGGCTTGCTCCTCCTCCTGATCTTTCCCTGTCTGCTCAGACTTCAGACTTATACCCACAGTCTCTGTTCTGTTAACATTCCCCTGAATGCTTTTCATCCCATCTGGAAAAGATCAATCCGCTCCTTCTCTGTAGTTCCTCTTACCAGAAGTATTGGGTTGAATAGTGTTCCGGTCTCCCTGCCACTACTCCAACCACTGCCATTCATGCCACTTAGCACCTCCAATGTAACCTTATTTGGAAACAGTCTTTGCTGATATAATTAGTCAAGATGAAGCTAGACTAAATGAGAGTGGTCTCTAATGACAGGTGTCCTGATAAGACCATGTGAAGACACCAGGGAAGGTGCCTATGGAGAGACGAGTTGGTCATTGGAGTTATGCTGCCATAAGCCAAGCAGTAGCAGGAGCCACCAGAGGCTGGAAGAGGCAAGGAAGGAGTCTTCCCAGAATCCAGAAGGGGAGAGACCTGCTGATACTTTGATTTTGGACTTTCAGTTTCTCAAACTGTGAGAGAATAAATTTGTTGTTTTAATCTACCTACTTTGTGGCATACATAGTGTTCACGGACTAAAACAAGAGATAACAAACTCTGCCAAGAAAGGGCCCCTGATCCTGTGCACCTTTGTGTCCTATGGAGAACTTCGAGCAGAYCTGAATCACAGAGACACTATGCAAAAGTTTGCAAAGTAGATGGATGGTAAGGTGGAAGAAGGAGGGATTAAGATTTCAGCCCATTCCTGTCTGGAGATGCCTGAAGGCCCCAGGAAGGCTTGGAGGGGCGGGGAATGCCAAGGTGTGTAGGCGCTAATAACAGTCTTTCCCCACTGTGGGTCTTTGACTCCCTCTGAGAACACTGTTCTCACTGTCARTAGAGAGTAAGGGATCTGATCCTACATTGTGAGTCATCAGCTGACCTGAAATAACACCTCTCCACTCCTAGCCTTGGTTCCTGGTGCATCAATTTAGAACTGAGGGGAAGACAAGGCCTTTCAAATGGAGATTTATAGTCATTGCTTGATTTAATTTTTTTTTTTTTTTTTTTGGTGAGATGTGGAGTTGGCTCCCATGGATGAGAGCAGTGAGGCTGTGGTTTAGTGAGAAGTGAACATCCAGGTGAAGAGAGGTGTGATAGAACAAAAAATTATTATTTAGTTTTTATAGTTGGTTCTTGGTACAGAGCTTCTAAAACCCTGGAATGTGTTGTTGTCCCAGGAGATTTGACTCTTTTCAGACACCAAGGTCAAATGGGGTGCCAGACTATTCACAGTCTGCCTGCTGACAGTTGATTTGGGATTTTCACTAGACCTGCTCAGTTTTGGTCATTTTCTGGAACAAAGAACTCAGGAAAGCACATTCCTTATGATGCTTACCAATTCATTATAAAAGACACAACTCAGGGAGAGCTGAATGAAGAGACACATGGGGCGGGGCATGGGGGAAGGACTGTCTTTTGTCTGTTAATGAGATAACTCATGGATGCCTAGGTGACTTTAGGATGAGGGGACTGGTGTGTGCATGTGAGTGTGCGTGAGTGTGAACATCCTTCAGCCCTTCCCAGCTGTCCGGGTGGGGGGATTCTGGGCTGGTGAACCCCCAGAAGGCACAGGTGCTCTGTGTCCCTCTCAGTTGGTATTGGAAAGTTGGTTTGGAAAAGACAGAATATTAGGTGTCAGAAAGAAACCATTCAGGCAGCTGTCTGGGGTCCCAGCCATTGAACCAGTCCAGCTTGCAGACTTTCTAGCTAAACTTCCTCATCTGTTTATAGAATAGGTACCTTTCCCTGGGAGAGAAATATGACTCAGAAGTTCCAGGGCATCTCATCCTACCCATAGGAGCAAGAGGCCTAGAAGGTCCCTCTGGGCTGTCCTGGAGAGGGGCTTAGGGCTGTCCTGGGTGACTTCCAGTGTTCCAGGAACCCTGCCAAGTGCTCTGCATTCCATATTTCACAGAATCCTCATCAGTCTGAAGAGAGAGATTATTATTATAACATTTTATGATGGAGGAAGCTGAGATTCAGAGAGGTTAAATAACTTGCTTTGACATACACACAAGGAGATCTAATGTGTGTAAGATTTTTCCCAGTTGCTGGGTTTTCTAATATTGGTGGTCCGTAATGGCGTAACAACCATTCCCAGTTTTCTAACAGCCTTCCTGCCCATGACTCATTGGGATACAGGGAAGACTTGTCCGTCCCAGTCCTCACATTATTTAAGTGACTCATCTGCATGCTGACCTTCCTCTTTCCTTTGGCTGGTGAATGACTTGCCTCTTCCATTTGCACATTTACCTTGGAAGATTTCTAATGCCCACTCCCATTTCCCCACCAGAGCTGACAGATTCTTTAGAGAGGAAACTGCCAGCTGCTAGAGCAAAATGGAATGACTTCTCTGCCTAAGACTTAGCAGGACACCAAGGAGTGTTACGGTTTCTGGGTGTACAGACCAGGAGTAGCCCGTTTTTCCCCTCCCTGTTCCCTGAGATCCTTTGAGCTCAGAAAGCACAGCAGCTGTTGTGGGTTCCTGTTCTTTTCTGAGTAGTGGGAGGCAACGGGGCCAGGAGTGTTCTGCCAGGAGGGTGACTTACCTGATGAAAGCTTGTTGCAGCAAAGCCCACAGAGAACTTCATGGGGATAATRGCAATGCCTTTCTTCTTCCAGTAGTTCTTCTTGTTGAACTCTTCCACTTGCATTCTTCTGCTGTGAAAGGAAGACCTTTCCAGACATTCGTTCCAGCATTTTATCAGGGTCTCAGGGCTGAATGCTTGTTTGTAGATAGTTTTATCAACTGTTTTATACATGTTTTTCTCCCTAATCTGAAGGAGATGGAAAATACAGTCAGTAGTTGTGGTAAGACAGACACTGACCACCAAACACACTTAAAAAGTCTTTCCGTTAAACTACAAACTTTGGTAGGGGGGAAGGTCATTTTTTTTTCTTGTTTTATTTGAATAGCATGTGGTGCTGTAAAAACATTTTTTAAAATCTCTTCATTAATGCATCTTTTAAGGTAGCTCCCCTACCCCCAGAAGTGGCAGGCAGTGGATAATGCCATGCCCTAGGCCTAGGGAAGCAGATTTTTCTTTTTTTCCCACAAGGTCAGAGGATGAAGCAGAGCTGATAGATTTAGTGTCATAACTGAGGATTTGTTCTGCTATAGAGGAATATATTTGTGTATAATGACAGAGAATCTCCTCTAAGTTTTCCAATTGCCTTTGGAATGTATGGTCAAGTTTTTTAAAGAATTTATTTGAATAGGGTGTGTTTTATAGCTTGGGAACTTGGAACACTCAAAGAAAAAAGTCTATTGAGAAATACCCAAGGGTTTTTCATTATCCCCATCTTGTTCCAATAACAATAAAAGGRTTACTGTGTTGTTATCAGCAACAACACTGGAATAATACTATGTACTTTATGAGAACAAATATTTTAATGAATGTGAATTCATTCGATTCTGCAGAAACACTATTGAGGTGAATCATCTTGTCTTCATCTTATGGATAAGGAAACTGAGCCACAAAGAGTAACTCTCTTTGTTCTTGGGGTTCTACTTGCCTAGATTACCTTCCCACCACTTGTGCCTATTGTTCCTCAAGGCCAATCTCAAGTGCCATCTTCTCCAGAAAGTTCTTCCTGATTCCTCTCCCTTCAAGCCACTGTGATGTCATCTTCCTTTGTGCCCATGGTACATTTACCTGATGTCTCTTAAGAAATCTATTGTTTCCCTGGTACAATATGAGGTGTTCTTTTGTGTGGAGACCCTTGTCAATCTCCTCGACAATCACAAATTATAAACCTGGAGGTCCCTGTTGAATTTAGGGATAAAGAAGTTCAAGAAACAATGCCTAGAGAGTCCTTGCTGGTGCAGAGGGTCTATATTGCAGAAAGAGGCTGGAAGTGGAAAAAGTAGACTAGGGTCTGAYTGGAATGTGTGAGAAGTAGAAGAGCATTATCAACAATTACCCCAATTACTGAGGCTGCCTCTCCCTGTTCTAGTATACTGTACAACCTGTGTGCTTTCTAGTATATTACATAAAATAATATTTTAGAGGGTATTCATTTGGCAGTATCTCTCAGAAGCTTTTCAGTGCACCAGAAGTCCATTTCTATAAGTTTAGTTTATCCTAGATACACCTACACAACGGGGTAAAATACACCCTTGGTACCTATGTAACCAAGATGTTTATTGCAACATGATTTTGATAACCAAAACGAGTAACAACCTAAAGGTGTATCATATTACAAAGTCGTGAAAAAAAAAAAGAATAGATCATTCCACTGACATGGTAAGATGACCATGACATATTGTCAGGTAGAAAAATAAATGTATAGAATGATATGTATATTATGGTTACATTTTGATAAGTAACTATGTGCACATATATAGAGTATGTCAATATATATATATATATATATATATATATATATATATGAATACAAATGGATGGGTAAAGATAAAAAAGTAAACATGGGACTCTTAATAATAGTTACCTTTGACCAACAGGAATGAGGGATGAGAAAGAAGATGTTCACTTTTTACTTTGATTATTTCAGTGTGGTTTGAATATTTTGTGAGTAATTATTTGTATATAAATTAAAAAAAAGAAAAAGAAATTTTTGCCTTAGGAGGGAAGAAGATAGGAGGAGATGAGTTCTTGTAGGTATCTCTTAATTTATTGAATGCTGAGCCAGKACTCATTTGTTTGTTTTTTCTAGTGCATTTCCTTGGGACAAGGTAGCGAATTTGCCCCCTGGTCTGACTCTTCACCAACCTTGGTTATGACCTGATCACATTCCTACCATTTCTGGCGGGAGGCCACATTTGGCTGCTACAGCTGTGATGCAAGATTCTGTCACCAAGGTTCCTTGTGGAAAGCCAAACCCACGAAAAGCTGTATTGGATGGCAAATTTGTCATGCATGCACGGCCCCGGAATCTGAGGTTGCGGATTTTATATGCATTTTCCAGCTTTAGTATAAGAAATTCTGTTACCTAAAGTAAAAGAAGATATTCACATTTATTGGCCATCACATCCTGCCTCCCCCTCCTTTTCTCTAAAAATCAAGTACAATGAGTAAAGACTCATCTGGAAATTTTGCACTCTTTTCACAATTAAGGATGTGGTTAGTTTTTTTTTGTTGTTGTTTGTTTTTAATGCTACCAGGGGCACTTAACCACTAAGCCACATCCTCAGCCCCTTTTTATACTTTATTTAAAGACAGGGTCTCACTGAGTAGCTTAGGGCCTTGCCAAGTTGCTGAGACTGGCATTGAGCTCTAGATTCTCCTGCCTCAGCTTCCCAAGCTGCTGGGATTAACAGGCATGCACCACCGCAGGCGTAGTTTTTTGCTATATCCCCAGCTCAACATGATTATTATTATTTTTTTAATATTTATTCATTTTTTTTTAGTTCTCGGCGGACACAACATCTTTGTTGGTATGTGGTGCTGAGGATCAAACCTGGGCCGCACGCATGCCAGGCGAGCGCGCTACCTCTTGAGCCACATCCCCAGCCCAACATGATTATTTTTTGATACACATACCAGCTCTGAGTCATCCAGTGTGCATCCTCCGTTAATATAGCACTCAATGTCTAGAGCTTTGATCCGCCCATTGTTCATGAATCCCACCTGTCACCAAATGATGGACATTTTACTGATAGGTTTAAAATTAACATGCCAAGAGCATCCACAGCCAAGTTCCCCTACTGAGCACAACTGGGGACAGACTTTGCTCCCTGTTCACTCTGTGGTGTACCATGCCTTGCTATTCCCTTGTTTTTCAGTCTGATTGATGAAGACCTCTTTGGACCTGAATTTTGCTGAGCCCTCTTTGTTCAACATGTAATTTTCTGTGCTTCACTGTTAAAGTTTTTGCTTGTCTTTCAGTGTGTAATTGCCACTCTTATCTTCCTTACTCTCGGGAGATTTTCCTTCACTGTTTACTGGCTTTCTTTTTAATTTAGTCTGTGGTTTTCTCCTTGTGGAAAAGTCTCCGAGATTCCAGAATGTCCTGGGATGAATCACAGGGTCTCTCATTGCGGAACAGACTGTAGAACTGAGGTCAGTGATTGGATGTGCAGCAATAGCTACTCTCAATTCCCTAGGTAGGGAAGGCGCTTTGTAGATGGTTACAGGACCTAGAGAATGTGAGCCAGTGCTCCTGTAACTGTCTGGGAGGAGCTTAAGGCAGATCACAGGTTTCTGATGTTGCTATTCCCCTCCCTCCCACCCACTTGGACCATCTTGTTTGGATAAGATGAATGAAAAGAAAAATCCCCACCCTCTATTCTGGTATTACCAAAAGATGAATGGCCCTGGTCCCTTTGCCCTTCTGAAAACAAAGATAATACACCTGAAGAAACTATATAACTGTATGGCTCTCATCATCTATTGCAAGAAAGATATCAGATAATAGACCACAGAGCAGTTAAGAACTATAGGAAAACCCACAAATTCAAAATGTATGATAGTTTTGACAAATTCTAGACTGAAGTTTGATTTTGACTTTTCATGAGAATTGCTAAGCCAAATAGCACTCTGTATAAGGCAGCAGAAAGAATTTTTCAACTGTTTAGGATAAACCTTTCAAGAATTTTGGAAATTATTATTTATGCAAAATATCTATTATGTTAATTTACAACCAGTTCTGAATAACCAAGCAAAATATAATTAGCAAGTCTGAATGAGGATACGTTTATACCTATGTATGCATATATATTATTATATTTTATAATATATTATATTGGAAGTGACATTATATTTCTTTAAAAGTAAGATAAAATTTGGATTTTTCAAAAAGTTTACTTCTCTCTTTTTAATTATATTTTGCATTATGATAATTACCAAAATGTTAACAATTCAGAACTTCTTTAATAAGTATTATTACTGAAACAGTCTCATAACCATGACACAAAGGCTAATATATAACCCAGGCCAAAACAAAAGACACAAGATCCATCCTAACAACAGTAACTGCCACAATTCCAGCAGTTAGCCTCTAATTGCTCTTGGTCCTAGAAGATAATAATAGCTGTGACTATTAATTTCTGTGCATTCGAAGGTAAATAAAAAATTTAATGGCCAACCACAGTTCCTTTCTCTCTAATTATAAAAATTACTAATGCCAACAGAAGAAATAAAATAGCGCTGTGGAATGGGAAGCTGTGATTTTAGTAGTATGGATACTGCAATAATCTAAGGGAATGACAAAGTCAGATAGGGAATCTAACTGTGTGTATGCCAATAGCAATGCCCAAATAAAAATGTCTGTCATGCTTTGTATTACATTAGAACTATTTTAACAGCTCAATCACAAATTTTTTCAAGGTGTTTGTTTTTTTTTTTTTTGCGGGGTGGGGGGTACCATAGATGGAACCCAGGGGCGCTTAACCACTGAGCCACTTCTCCAGCCCTTTTTATATTTTATTTAGAGACAGGGTCTTTCACTGAGTTGCTCAAGGCTTTGCTAAATTGTTGAGGCTGGCTCTGAACTCATGATCCTCCTGCCTCAGCCTCCCAAGCTGCTGGCATTACAGGTGTGTACCATGGTGCCCTGCTCAATTACAAACTTGAAAAGTGGCATTGTCAACTAGATGCCAGCAAATAATTTTAATAGTGTTTATACTACAGTTGCATAAAAATGCAGTTAATGCAGTAGAAGTATTTTTTTTTAAAGATGAGATCTTTTTATGTTGTTCAGGCTGGTTTTGAATTTCTGGACTTAAGCTCTCCTCCCACATCAGCCTCTCAAGTAGCTGTAACAACAGTCATGTGCCTCTGCTCCTGGCTTTACAATTTTAAATCCAATTGTTTTTTTCATCTGCAAAGAGGTTTTGTGACACTTTTATGGTCACTTAGTGGAAACTTTCATAAAAAATAATTTTGCAGTTAAAATGGTCAAATGTTTCCAAACATTTCTACTATAAAATAATATTTTTACATTCAAGAAGTTTTGGTGTAACAATGTTTGTATCTTGAGTTTTGTTTTCCCCTTCCAGTTCTGTGTATTGAACCCAGGGGCACTCAACCACTGAGCTATATCCCTGGCCCTTTTTAAATTTTTTGTTTTGGTCAGAGTCTCTCTAAGTTGCTGAGGCTGGCCGTGAGCTTGTGATCTTCCTGTATCAGGCTCCTGAGTAGTCAAAATTATAGTTGTGCACTATCATACCTCATGTTTTTGTATTTTGTGGGGCTAGGGATTGAACCCAGGGCCTTGTGCATGCTAGGCAAGTACTACCTCTGAATACCGCCCAGTCCTGTTTTTTTTTTCTTTAAGGAGCTACTAATATAAAATCTTATTCCTAAAGTAGTGTTTTTATCATTGCTTCAAATTATATTTTCATTATTAAACCAGATTTGTTAAAAGTTCACCACAAAATGCTATGAATATGCAAATATATAGCATCTTCATTRATATTTTAGACAATAAGATTGTTTTTACAAAATCAAAATTAGTAAAAAAGAAGAAAACCATTCAAGTAAAATAATTATTTTTAATAATTTGATCTTTCAGACTTACTTTATATTTTCCAAATAACGGGTGCCTCCCTCCAGTTATTAACATGTCATCTTCACGATCAAGAACAAGACGAATGGGATGGCCAGTTCTAAAAAAAAATTTTTGAGTCAAATTCCCCATCCATCTCACCCACCCAACCCTCCACTCTCCCCTCCATCTACTCCTTCACCTATCCACCTACGTATTTTCACAACCTTTATTTATCTTCCCATATCCATCTATCCATTCATCTACCTATTCATCCACTATCCACCTTCCCACTCATTTATGCCATTCATTTAACTGTCTCTCCATCCATCCCATATAGATTTATGAGTTGCATGTTGTATGTACTAGACATTGATGTGAATTAATGTATGACTAAATGACTATTATCTCTGTGATTGATAATTCAGTGTGAGAAAATCTAGCTAAAGGGATGAATGTCACATGACAGTTAAATTGCATTATTATGGCTTCAAATTGACCTTCAAGYGTGATCCTCACCCAGATCCCATTATTATGCATCTCTCTGCAGCTAGTTATAAAGGAGAGAGCTTGAACAGATAAATGCAAAGTTAACAACAGTACTATAAAAACATCAGTTAAATGTAAAGATTCCAGGTTCATTGTCTAGTAATTCTGAATCAGTGGGGCTGGCATGGGGAGGCAGGAACTTCTACAATCTCAGGAGACTTTTAATACCCAGGAGGTTTGGGAACACTGTTCCAGGTGTGTGGGGGGGGGGCGGCTCACGTAATGTATGGCAGTTGTGCATGAAGGCAGGGTTGTATTTTAAGGCACAGGTTCCCACACTTGGCTGCATAATGGAACCACTGGGGAAGTTTTGGAATATTCCAGTCCCTTGGTTGGTGATGGAAAGTGCAGGTGCTGGGATTTAAATGTTCCCCATGTAACTCCAATGTGCAGTCACATTTGAGAACTCTGAAAGGCCCAAGGCCTTGTGAGAACACAAAGAACTRATTCTCTCTTWATCACTTGGRTCCCTYGTRGTTGAGATAGAGAGGGGTTAGATAYGGAAAGAATGAAGATGAGGTTCAGATCCTGGTTTTCCCACCTGCAGACTAAGACACATGCTCTGAACTACACGGAGGTTGTCAAAGGAAGCAGTATCTGGGGACATTAGAGACTGATGAAGCCTCTGACAAAATACCAAAGAAACAGCCATAGAAAATGAAYGAGTAACAGAAAAGCCAGCACCTATCATATATGAATGTTGAGGCATGAATGGCAAGTGAATCGGTGAGTTTTCCATTGCAGCAGTTAGCTCAGGAACCACCTGCTCCTCCCTTTTTTTTCCCATGATGGAGATGGAACCCAGGGTCTTGCATGTACTAGGCAAGCACTCTACCACTGAGCTACACTCCCAGCCCCTAGGAGCYCTCTTTGAGGACAAGTCATCTGTCCACTGAGATAAACAGTTTGAGGGGGTGGTACTTCCCACATCAGCAAGGCAGAGGATGGGGGTGGGGTTCTTTCATCACTCCAAACTGTTTTGGAGTTGAGAGTAGAAAGGAAAGTCAGAGAATAATCCACTTGGACAGAGTGCCATATTCTACCTGTAGGCCACCTTCTCTGAAGCTCAAGAATGGGCAGCCCTAGCTCTGGAGGTATTCAGCCAATAGAATCACTTTTTCTATTTAAAGCATACTAACTTATTCAAAGTCCTGGATACATTTGACTTTTGCAATAACTCTAGAAGGGTGGGAAGGCTGAGCATGGTGCTGCGTACCTATAGTCCTAGCTACTTGGGATGACTTGAGGCCAGGAGTGTGCAAACAACCTGAGCAACATAGCAAGACTCTTTCAAAAAAAAAAAAAAAAAAGAAAGAAAAGAAAAAGTCTGGTGATATAGCTCATTGGGAAAGTGCTTACATAGCATGCATAAGATTCTAGGTTCAACCCCCAGTACTGAAGAACAGCCAAAAAAATGAAGAAGAGTGGGAGGGTAAGTATTAATATCTACATTTTATAAACAGAGACTGAATTGTCAGGACTATGACAATGACTATGACAGAAGCCAAAGTGACTCTACATTCTGCACCCTCTGTATCCTCTAGCATACTTACTTGAYAGCACCCACTGCTGCAATTGCCCCAAACACAGATGGCCTTCYCACCTTCCCTCCAAAACCTCCGCCCACTCGTTTAACATGGCAGGTGATCCTGTTGATGGGGATGTTTAGAGTAGAGGACACTGTTTTCTGTAAAAGTGAGATAACAGGAAGATTTCTAAGAGGGAAATGGCAAAGAATTGTTTTGTTTCCTGAAACATAACATCACAGCAGAATATGTTCACATCTACCTTTGGTAAAAAAGTGGATAGTCCAAATCTGTCTTATGGAGCTCTGCTTAGTTCATTAATCTTCACAGAATAGTTCTTCCAGAAAAAAAAAAAGGAATTTACCAGAAGGGAAACTGTTACACCCCTGGATTCTGTTCTAAGTTGAATTCCAAGTCAAATGCCTAGACCTAAAGTCCCACAGTGTTGAAAACCAGCAAATTCCTGGTATGTATGCAACTAAACCCTAGAGCACATTGTGGCTGGGGAAGTAAAAAAATGTTCTGTAAGGTAATGTGCTGACTTTAAAGATTATCTGTAATGATTATTTTAGAGAAAAAATAATKTAGTGGTGTCATCCAATCTGAGAATTCATCTAAGCCAAATGGAAATAGACTAAAGTGACCATGGCTCTTCTTTTATTACTTGATAATGCCAGAAAAAATAATAAAAACATTCTGAGGTCTAAGCTGCTTTACAGGTGTTCAATATTTGGATTCTAAAGTTTTGTAGGTAAATGGTTATCAACTATGGAGCTGTGGGAATTGCCCGCCAGGATGGAATTACGAAGGTGGGGAGTTGGGGAAGACCCTTGATCTTACCTGCACGTGGGCTGGATCCTGTGTGGACACATAAATGTCCAGTTCTTTGTCCTCTGTCTTTGGAATAACAAGCACTCTTTGTGTTTCCATGTAAAAGTGTTCCTGTCCTCCAACGTGGACCTCTCCTGTTAAGCACAAGCACAGGACAACTTCTGAAGGTGTATGCTGCCTGTAGGCCACCACCTTGAGGAATTCAAAAGCAAGTAAGACATGGACTGACTAGTTTGCATTTGCTCTGACTAAGGAATCAGGCATGTGTCTTATAGCAACTGGAGGCAACAGTTATGGAAGTTAAATGTGTCAGCTTCTGTTCCTTACTCTACCCTTAACTAATCACAATCTTAGGGATTTTTCTTCTATTTATTCTGCTGCTTACCCCCCAAATACAACACACACACACACACACACACATACACACAATTTGATTTTTTTTTTTTTTTGATGATGGTGCTAGGGATTGAATCCATGGCCTTGAGCATTTGAAGTAAGTACTCTACCAATTAATCTATCTCCCTATCCCACACATAATTTGAAAGGAAGAGGTATAAATTTGACAAAGCCCCAAGATTTTGGAGAATGATCTCTTTGGTGAGAAATTACATGCTCTTGAGGTATTGTTCAGTATTTAATCAGGCAAAATTCTACTAGCCATCCTGAGTTGCTTACCTTCAACAATTTGATCCACTTTTTCAAATGCCTCCTTAATGTTTCCTTGCTCAAGTTTTTTTTCAGGGCATAGGAATGAATTGTGTTTTATGGCATCCTGTGTAACAGGGGAAATCACAAAAGCCAGTTAGTCCTACTTTTTTCTTCCATCAGCTGTTTTTTTCTCTAATGAAAGTTACTATACTCCCCCAAATCACTGTCTCCTGGGATGTATGAAAGGTGTCAAGTAAGSAAGTACTGGAGCAGCAGGCCACTGTAGAGAGGGATGTCAAAAGGATTGTCTTCCAGATTTGCAGAGAAAACCGGCAAGAATTAGTGAAATGTTAAGAAGGATGCTGAGAATTGAGGTCTGGGGGCAGTAGGATGGTCCAGGATGATAAATGCTCATTCCTCCTTTTTAATGTGGATCTCCAGGGAACAGGCAATAGGTTCCAATGTCTATAAGTGAGTTTCTGTTCCCCTTTTTTCAYCTTCTCCTTGAGAAAAACCACTGATATTAGACTAGGCTCACATGCAAGAACCCCTAACTCAAGAATCTGAAAAATTGAGGCTGTGTTGAGGCACAATAGGCRGGTCCTTACACATCCTGGGGCAAGACATCTTGAAAATAATATAGAAAGTTTGTTCATTTCTTTGAGTATATGGGATATATCACAAGAGCCTTCCCAGTTCTTTGTTCCATGGTGTGTGTGTGTGTTTGTTTTGTTTTGTTTTGGTGATGACAATAAGATGAACTGATTCACATATGAAGACTGGATGCCATTCCATTCTATGGACTGACCTACCAGCAGCTGATCCTTACTTAACCTGTGGATCCCAGCTGTCTTCCATTACTTCAGAAGGACACTCCTCTGCTACCTTCTTAGACTCCCCAAACCTAGGAGTCAACCTTTCTTGCTAATGATGATAACAGTGATAACATTTGCACCATGCACTGAACAATAACAGAATATTTACATGTCTTCTCACACTAATTTCATGATTATCTTGATTTTCTAGACAAAGAGACTGGGCTTAGAGAGGTGAAAATAACTTTCTCAAAGTCATGCTGCAAAGAAGTGAGGGAGGCAGTGTTCAAGCCCAGGCTCAGTTTTCAGAAACATCTTGCCTCATAATGAACACCTGATTTCTCAAAGCCACAAAAAACAAATCATATAGTTGAAAATTTCATGTTATGCTATACTGAGATCTCAATAAGTCACCCTCTGCATGTACAGGGATGTTTATTTCCATATTGAAAATAGTAACTGAGATTTGCAGGCTCTAACTCAATGAGATCAAGGCATATAATTTTCTTACAAATGCTGTTTTTAGTGAGTGCTAATTATGAGCCAGGCACTGTTCTGAGCACTTTATACATATGAACTCATTTAGTTTTAAGATGAGTTTTATGATGAGACATATTATTATTACCCCCAGATTACAGATGAAGAAACTGGCATAGAGATATTAAGTAACTTGCCTAAGGTTACACAGCTAGTAAGTAGTACAGCCTTGATTCAATTTTCCCAGTTTGGTTCTTGCACTTGTCCTTTTAACCACTACTCTACACCACCTTGTGTGCATTTATGTGTAATACAGATTCATATAAATAAACAAATTAATAGATGGATGAATCAGTATTGGTATATATGACTCTTATCACCTGCTTTTGGTCACAAAAGAATTATTTCCTGATTCTGGATCATCCTATTGAGGAAACTCTAGATCCCTATACACTCTGAATCTCAGAAAATTTCATGGTGTATCCTCTGGGTGCAATTTCCCCCTTGGTTAAAATGGGGTTCAAATTGAAGTTTCAAAAACCCGTATTAAGATCCTAGGACAACCCAGGGAAAGTGAGTGAGCCAAGAAAAATGGCCTAGACTCTTTGCCAACTTGGCAAATGGGAATTTGGAGCAGAGTTAATTTGGTTTAGAAATATTAAGAAATACTTTTTAAAAGTTATTTGAATATTGAGCAATTTGTACCTTTTAGGAACATTTTAAAATGCTCAAATGATTCACTAGGGTCTTCAATACTTTTTATGACCTGTCATAAGCACACAAACAAATTAGTTCTGAACCTGTCTCTCAGAACTTGCAAATCCTAGCTGCTGCAATTGAGATCTAGAATGTGCCCCAGAGGCTTGGTGGTGGAAACTTGAGGAAGTGGGGCCTAGTGGAAGGTTTTAGGTCACTGGGGGTGTGTCCTTGAAGGGGACTGTGGGACTGTAGTCCCTTCCTCTTTCTCTTTTTCCTGTCTCAGCCACAAGTTTCGCTCTACCATGCACTGCTGCCATGAAATACTACCTCACCATAGGCCCCAAAGCAACGGGGCCAATTGACTATGAATTGGTCTGACACTGTGAGCCAAAATCAACCTTTTCTCTTTATAAGTTGATTATCTCAGGTATTTATTACAACAATGAAAAGTGAGCTAACACACCTATCCTCACTTGAATTGTGTTCTCCATTCGCTTTCCTGGAAATATCATCTGAAGTCCATTATATAGACTCCAATTGAGAGTGTAAAATTTCCATGAAATTCCACCATAAATTTCTCACTACTTTTGGGCTCCACCTTGGAAACATTATTTTTCTCAATATCCATTCTCATTATCTTCCACAAGTAATAGAATCCCTAATTTTTAGTGGATACATAGCCACATGGAATAAAATCTACATTTTCCATCTCCCCTTGAAGGTAGGTGTGGCACGTGACTAGGTTCTAATCAATGAAATATAATTAGGCATTTATAACTGTGAAGTGTCCTGAAAGAGAGGGGGTATTCCTGTCCCCATTACCTCATTCTCTCTGTTGTTTGGAATGTGGGTTTAATGGCCAGAACTTCAGTAGCCATTGAGGACCAGAGGTGACCTGAAGAATGGAAACCATGCATACAGAGCAACTAGGTAGAAGGAGGCTGGATCCCTGACACAAGAACCCATATGCATGGCTTAAATATGTCCCCCTTAGTCCATGTGTTGGAGACCCGATCCCTAATACAATAGTCTTGTGAGACAGGAACTTCAAATTAAAGAGTTTATCAGGTCACGAGGGCTCTATTTTCTTGAATGAGTTGATGCAGTTATTATGAGAAGGTCCTTTATCAAGAAGAGAGGGGGTTTGTTATAAAAGCAAGTTTGGCCTTCTCTTGCTCTCTCTCTCACACATGAACATGAACCCTCTATTGACCTTCTACCTTCTGCCATRGGATGATGAAGCACCATATGCAACCACCTAGTCATGGACTTCCCAGACTCCAGAACCATGAAAAAYAYATTTCTATTCATTATAAATTACCCATCTTAGGATTTCTGYTGTGGCAGCACAAAACAGATTAAGATACCACATAAGCTCTGGACARACCACTGCTAGACTTTTTGAATGTGAGACAAAAACTTGTACACTGAGATTTTTTTTAAAAAAATGTTAGTTGGAGTCAAAGATAATTTCAGTTCATACAAGTAATATCTTCCAGAGAAAACTTACTTTTCCAGGGAAAGCCAATCCCCCTCCTCTCCAAAATTCCTAAATCAGTATTGGACATTAAGATATTTACAAAGGCACTTTTGATTCTACAATCTTAGTGTGAGACCTGCCAGCCCTGCTTACCTCTATGGTGAAGATTACAGGTTCCAGATCCTCATAGGTAATCTTTATCTTTTCAATTGCCTGCTTTGCCTGTATATCTGTCTCTGCAACTACAGCACAGATAACCTGGCCCACGCAAAGTACCTGTGGAAAGTACATGCATAAAGCAGATAGAACATTAGGGCAGGAATAGGCAGCTCTACTTCACCAATGCCTGGTATCTTAGATGCCATTTTTGAGCAATAATAACCACATTGGACTCATTCAACTATATGTGTTTGGCTCAAACTTCTAAAAACTTTTAATGTAAAATTTAAATAATATAGACAGCTCCATTTGCTATTTTGCTCAGTGAATATAAGTTCCAGAGTAGATATGAGATTGATTGTGAACTGAATCTACTGTGTCCTCTGTTGTGCTTGGTTTACATGTATCTCTTTCACAGATGTTWCTTTAGAGTTTAAGAATAAGCAAAATATTTTTTGTTCAATGTGACTCCTATAGTAGACTGAATTGTAACCTCTCCCCCCACATCCCTGMCATGGAAAATTTACATGTTGAAGCCCTATCCCACCCCCCACCCCATGTGACTGTATTTGGAGATAGGACTTTGACAAARGTAATGAAGGTTGAATGAGGTCATAGGACAGAACCCTACTAAAATATGACTGGTGTCTTTATAAGAAGAGGAAGATACACCCTTAAGAATGGAATGCTCCTGAGAAAACGGCATGCCTACGAGGATTCACTGAAAAGATTACCTTCTGTAAGCTGGGAAGAGTCCTCAGGAGAAACCCAACCTGCTAACRCCTTTATGTTGGACTTAGCCTCTAGACTTGGGAGAGGAAGCCTCTAGACTTCTGTTGTTTAAGYCTCCCAGCTGTGGAATTTTATTATGGTAACAGACTAACATAGTTCCAGACAACCAACCTTTTCAGCTGGAGTTCAACTAAAAGAACAACCTCTATGGCTGGAGGAGAAATTGTTTGGGTCTCATTGAGAGATGACAGTAATACCTAACACTAGAGCCTTCATTATGCCAGTCACTGTCCAAAGCACTTTGAATGTATTAACTCATTTAAATCTTACAACTACACAGTGAAATGGGTGCTATGCTCATTTCCTCTTTACAGATCATGAAACCCAAGGGCACACAGCTATGGAGTGGAAGGGCTGGAAACAAGAATCTAGACTGTCTGGTCCCAAAGTCAAGTGCTCAATAAATAATTGTTAACTTTGAATTAAAAAGTCAGAGAAAGGGCTAGGGATATAGCTCAGTTGGTAAAGTGCCTGCCTCACAAGCACAAGGYCCTGGGTTCAATCCCTATCACCACAATAAAAAAAGAAAAAAAAAGTCAGAGACAATAAGAGCAACTTCATTAAAAATGGAGTGTGTGAAGGAAGGTGGGACCCGGGAAGAGGGTTGGTTCAGGAAGGAAGGGAATTCAGAACAAATTAGAGGGAGTGGTTGTTTTTTGGTGCTCTCTCTCTCTCTCTCTCTCTCTCTCTCTCTCTCTCTTTATTTATTTATTTTATAGTTGTAGTTGGACACAATATCTTTATTTTATTTATTTTTATGTGGTACTGAGGTTTGAACCCAGGCCCCCACACATGGTAGGCGAGTGCTCTACCGCTAAGCCACAACACCAGCCCCTGGTGCTCTCTTTTCTAGATCTTTCTAGGGCATTCTATCCTGATATAGAAAACTTTCTTGCATTTACTCTTTTTAAAATTTTTTTTCTTAGTTGCAGATGGACAAAATACCTCTGTTTTATTTATTTATTTTTATGTGGTGCTGAGGATCGAACTCAGTGCCTCACACTTGCTAGGCAAGTGCTGTACCTCTGAGCTACAACCCTAGCCCCACATTTAGTCTTCAGATGAGGGTAAATGGTCTCAAGAGCACATGGTACTTGAATTTTGACTGTAATGTTTCCTTTTGCTAAATTATTTCCTGACTCCAGAAAAGTAGTGCTGAATAATAAGGTTAGAGATAAAGAGGAGCTAGTGGGTGGCACTTCTACCTCCCATTAGTAGAAAGAGCTGGGGGCAGCTGAAGGTGGTACCTCGGTGGTTACCTGCCCAAAGTCACCTGGGAAGGTGTGTTCCATACGCACCTCATCTACAGCCAACAATTTGTCATCTTCACCACCATTGGTGCCTGGAATGTCTTTAGCTGTTATCACATCAACCACCTCAGGTAGTTCAAGGGCCTCAGAGAAATCCATTGATCTGAAAGTAAAGAGATATTTAAGAAGTAGAAATCAGCAAGATTTGAGGGCTCCAAACCTTTCATGGGCCAGGCTATATGAGCAATGACCAAACGGGTTTCATTTCATTATGGCAGAAATGCTTCTGCCATAGGAATACCCCTGTCTTTGTACCTATCAATAGTTGCTTAGCATAGCATGTTTGGCAACATAAAATGGCAATTCTTATAGAGTGTAAAATTTTTCTCTTTTGGTTCCCAGTTTTCTTGGACATCAGACCTTGTCAGAAATTGATTGTCTAGACATTAGTAACCATTCTTTAATTTGTACTCAACTAGGGTCATTTTGACCCACTTCTCTTCTTCTTATGATTATGCAAAGTCCCGTGGGAAATATCAATGTACCCAGAAATGAAATTATGATTATGGGCATTGCATTCCCTAATGGCTCAATTCAGCTTCTGTACCCCTGCTTGCTTGCAGCTATGCCAACCTGGATAAGGTTTTTGCCTCTAAATATCCTAAAACCCTCAGGCTTGAGGCTGTTCCTTGCAGAGACAGTTTGGGGTCCTGCAGGGAGCAGTCATTGGCCAGCTAATAAAGACTCTGCAATTCAGACAAAGCTGGGACTTGGTGTTTTCTGAGCGCCTTGCCCCATAACAGAACATGGTTGAAAATAAGAACATATAACAGTGAATTCACCCTGATCAATCAGAATGGACCTGCCAAGGAGTTGGGTTCAGGGGATCCCCCTACTGGGCTAGGGAGTAACCTTCCAGTTGTGTGTATGGGGTGACAAGTGCTAGGGGAGGGGCAGTGTTACTGGCAAGGGACCTTCTCTGGAAGCTTAGAATATTGGTCATTGTTGAATAATGAAGTGTGCTACAATGTTTTCCACCAGCTGCATATCAGCCCTGCATCAGAGATACTCCTTTGAGATCAGTCTGAGGCTACAGCAGGGACATGTCTTGTGAGGTTAGGAAGGAAACAAGAGGCCTATGACTGACTGTATCTCTATTTTATGATAGTAATCTTCCTCCTCTGGGGCCTTGTGACCTTTTCTTTATTTGTTTCATTGTAGGTTCTTTGAGTATATGACATCGTAGAAGAAACAGGCAAGTTCTTATGAAGGGATCCCTAGCTATGCTTTTAAAAAGTTTTTGATTTACTTACATAATTTTTGCATGAGCCCTGGTACTGGTCACCAAAGCCATGAAAAGTTCTTTATCCACCCTGGGAATGTCATCACAAAACATGGCTTCCCCCGTGGCATGTTTAAGACCTGACAGGTGCATGATGGGGCGTCCAACTGGATCTCGAAGAGGTTGGTGAGAATCCACTTTCTGTAGAGGAAGACAAGAGTTGCTCTAAAAACCTTATATCTCCACAAGTGGCCTGGCCAATCACAGGCACTCCTGATTCAGGACTGAGCAACCGGGTGGTACTCTCAGGCAAAGAGCACTGGAGCAGGTCAGATGACTAGTGTGACAACTTAGTGTTGTAACTAGACTGGAGAATTGTCATTCAGTTATGTGACAATGCCATAGGCAGGCCAGCCTTTGGCAAAATAGTGAAATAGGTAAAGGGGCACTCCACCTTCTCCTTTTGTGGTGCCATCATTTTAGAGGGTCTCCCTGTTCTGCTTGCTCACAGGTCTRGTGATCCACCTGTCCACATTTAAAGAATCAAGATAAGGCCTATAGGGATTTAGTTCCCAAAGAGGGACCAAAATCCAAGTCAGAACCCTGAGTATTGACTCTCATGGCCTCTGGTAAAGGTAGGGGATTGGTTATGGAGTCCCCCAGATCCAGATTACCATGTCCTGGCCACCCCTGCAAGTGGCACAAAGTCATCAGCAGGAGTATAAGGAGACAGAGGAAGATTTAAGAGTTTATTCTGGAGCTGTTCTCAGGGAAGAGGTGTGTGTGTGTAGGGGTAGGGAAGGGACTGTGCTTCAGTAAAAATGGATAATTGTTAAATTGTCCTTCCAGAAGAGTGAGTTCAGTTACCTGAAGGGCTCTTGCTTGCTGATTGGTGATTAAACTTTTGCAATCAGGGCCAGAGGCTGAACCTTCTGCTCAGCTGCACTTCTGAGTAAATATGAAACAAATGCCCAAAGAACATCTCTTTGAAAAGACTATAATTATTAGTCTGTAGATCGGTCAACCTTAAGTACATCTAGTGGCAGCTTAGGCCTGAGCTTGGATTCCAGAGTCACCCTGACTTGGACGGAGGAACCACTGGAAAGTCAAAACTCAAAATCACAACTCTGAAAAACTTGCTCATTTTGTGCAATTCCAGCTTATCTTTTCGTGTTTAGGTTTCTGTGAAATGAGACTCACTGACCTGGTATGTTTGGACTCCCTGGGGTATTGTGACTGGGAAATCTTCTAGAGCACTTAGGAACCCATCTGAAATTTCCGGATAACGACTGCTGCCCTGCGATGATTCAGCACAACGAAAAGAGGCTGGTTAGTCTAGATTAAGTTGGGTTTGGGTTTATTAGAGAGTAACTTGACAAATGTTACTCTCACATAACCAAAGTCCACAGTGCGCCCCAGGGTTTCGCTTTTTATGACCCCCACACCCTTGTCCTTTCCCACACAATAAGGACCTGGCCTGACTGGTTTGAATCTGTTTCCCTGTCACCTGGAGGGAGAGGCCAGCTGGTGAGCTGGGGCAGAGGCTATGGGTGGTGGGGAGAAAATGTTGGACAGGATAAGCCATCCCAGAATAAGCTGTTGTCTACAAAAAGGCCCAAGTCCTGTTTGCTTTTCTCAGGAACTCAGCTTTTCTGGGACAGCAGCAGAATCGTGCATCAGTGAAACATGTCAAGTGTCTTGACTCAGAAATTAAATAGCAGGTCTTCATCTGAGTCACTGAAATGCAGATGTTTTAGAACAGCAGGCTGTCGGGGTAGGGGTGGCTGGAACAGGGTACAGGGTTGGGAGAGAGTTGTAATCATGGGAAAAAGTTGTAATTATGGTCAGGGGATGGGAAGGAGAAGGAGGAGGAGAAGAGAAAGGATACTTTGCTTAATTCATTCTAGAAAAAGAAAAGTAAAAATTTTCCCCAGAATTTTACAATCAGAAAATCTAGAAAGCTACTTAAATATTAGTATAATAGTATACAATATACATCAGTTTTGGTCTTTTTTTTTTAATTTGCAGAAATTTAATCTGATCGTGGGCATCAGGAACAGATCAGTTTTGGTCTTTTTGAAAAATAACATTTTATTTTACATTTTATGTTGCATTCGCAATTCTAGAATAAGCAAAATGAATATATAGCGCCACAAAGCAGATCAGTGACTGCCTGGGCTGGGTTGGGCTGGTGGAATTAACATTCTATGTTTAGTTTGAGGTGGTGGCTATGTAGGTATACACATTGCCAAAATTCACTGAATTTAAACAATGAATTTTATTGGAGGTAAATTATATATCAACCAAGTATTTTAATTTTAATTTTATTTTATTTGGGGCACTCAACCACTGAGCCACATTCCCAGCCCTATTTTGTATTTTACTTAGAGGCAAGGTCTCACTGAGTTGTTTAGCMCCTTGCTTTTGCTGAAGCTGGTTTTGAACTCTTGATCYTCCTGCTTCAGCCTCCTAAGCCACTRGGATTACAGGCATGTGCCACCATGCCTGGCCAATCAAATTTATTTTAAAATAAAAAAGCTGTATGCTGCTGGAGAAAGGAAGCACCAGATATTTGAGTGCTATGGGCACACGGTGAACTGTGGCCTGAAGATAGTTTGATACCCTGAGCCTCATGTAGCACTTTGGGGCTGAATCCCAGGAACAGGATGGGCCCAGAACAGGTGACAGGTTGTAGCATAGACTGCCCACAAGACAGTGAACAAAAGCAGTAGGGAAGCTGGGGGTGTATGGCTGTAAGGAGCTAATAAGAGCCAGATGTCATGTATTGAAGTCTGTCCTTCCAAATTTATAAATTGGAGTCCTAATCCCCAGTATCTCAGAATTTGACCTTATCCAAACAAAGAAAAGTCTGTGTACTGTAGAGGTCATCAAGTTAAAATGAGATCATGAGGATGGGTCCTGGTCTAATATGGTTGCTGTCCTTATCAGAAGGGGAAAATTTGGCACARACATGTAGACAGAAGGTCTTGTGAAGGCAGAGTCAGAGATGTTCCCCTACAAGCTAAACAAAGCCCAGAGATTGCAGCCACTGCCAGAAGCTAGGCAAGAGGCACACAGAGACAACTCTCACAGTCCTTAGAAGGAACCAACCCTGCTGATAACTTGACCAAGGACTAAGCCTCCAGATTGGTGAGATAATAAATGTCTGTTGTTTAAGCCACCCACCCAGTCTGTGGTGCTTTGTTACAGGATGGCTAGCAAAATACATTAGAGCACTTACAGGCACAGAGAATTGTCTTACTAGGGTCTTCAGTTCCTTCAAAACCTTTAGGTAGAACTTGAAGAGGAAGCTGACTACTAGAGTCCTCTTGAACTCCACCTTGCCACCCGGAGCTGAGCCTGGGAGGGAGACTTCATCCAGAACCAACCTGCAAGCCTCGTCCAGCATCAGCTCATTCCAGTGCCTGGTAGCACAGAGGCAGGAAGGAGCCAGTTAAAGGGCAGTCTTTATTGCATGGCATATGCTAGATACCAGAAGGTAGCATTTTAGAGATCCCAGAATTTCCTTTTTAGAGTTGTAAGGAAACTTAGATATCACCTTATCCAACCTCTATGGAAAATTGAGGCCTAGGGAGGCTGCTTCAATTGGCCCAACTATCATGACAGGGTGAGTAAGGGACCTGTTCCATTGCAACATAAATCAAGAAAGTTCCAGAGCTAGAAGATAGAAGAACTAAACAGACTAAACAAGTACTAAACAGACCATTTAGGCCAGTCCCATTATGAACCAAACAGGATTCAGAACTGGATACTGTCTTTGCTGAGGAAGAAATTGTGTGTGCCACATTGTAGAAGTGTGAGGTGCTGCTTGGACACTTCTGTGGCTCGCTGAGTGTTGATTTGCATAAGATAATGACAGCCAGACCAGGAATAATTGCCTGCTGGCTGAACTTGGGCCTGGGCTATTTTTGTTGTGTCCCTTACCCAAAGAGTGGCATCCAATTAATCCAAGTCAAATAAGGTTTAATTCATTCAGCAAAAATACAGAAGGAGCAAGCAGTGATTTTATAAGTAGGAGTTTCCATCTTTCCAGAGTTTTATCAACACTTGCCAATACCAAGTTTCCACTTGGTTTTTCAATGTTAAGTTTCACCCTTAAGGTGCAGGGCTCATTGCTTACCTGCCGAGGAGCTGCTGGCAGGATTTATGTGCACTGACTGTAGCAGTCCCTACACCTCCGTAGGCAATGCTCAGGTCCTCAATGGTGTCTGTGCCTTCTTTAAACAGGACTCGCATGCCAGCATTGACATCTGGCAAGGCGTTTTGCAGGCACTGAGCCTGTCGGAAGGCGAACACAAATTCCCACTGTGGAGACAAAAATCAATCCGAGTTATCGGATAAGTGAGAACGAAGAGCATGGTTTCTGCTTCTTGGTGCCTCTACTAAATCACTTAGAATCACTCAAAAGGGACACAGACAACACTTAGCACAATTGGAGGACAACCAGGCTGACTTCTTGTTCGAGGTGAGAATGTCCTTCCCAAGACCTATCTCCAAGTTCCCAGACACCTCAAGGATCAGGAGTCTCTGTGCACTTTCCCTTTGAGCCTGGGATGGCTCTACACAGAATGCTGCAGAAACTTGCATCAGGGACATGAACTTGTGCAGGATCTGCAGGAGCTCCTCTCTCTAGGCTTCAGATGTCTTTGTCTCCCAGGAGGACAGAGAAGCCCTAAGAATACAGGGGCTTGTAACATTCAAAGAGACACAACTCTTTTTTTTTTTTTTTTTGGTAGGAAAAAAAAATCACTTTTTCATTTGGCAAAACTCAAAGGGGAGCTGAGTGGAGCTTTCCAGCTATGGACTAGGGAACCCTATATCAGGAGCAGGGGCAGGGGATGATGGTTGCCCAGTGGACCCCTTGGTGCCATGACTGCTGGTGTGCCCAGGTGAGGCCAATGAAGACAGCCTGTGCCCAGCAGGGCTTCTCCATCTGTGCTGGTCTAATGGTGCTCATATTTGAGTCTGCCTGTTTTTCTCTTCCAAAAGCTTCTAAAACTGAGCTGCCTCCTGATTTTATTTTTATTTATTTTTTTTTCTGTGCTAAGATTGATCCCAGAGTCTTGAACATGCTAGACTCTACCACTGAGCTATATCCCCAGCCCTGTTTCCTGGTTTTAGATTGCTATGAGTCTGTGTGTATGTGTGTGTGTGTCTGTGTGTGTGTGTGTGAGAGAGTGTGTGTGTGTCTTGTACCCTTCTCTCTGGAAAGACTCTCCTCTTGGATTTAGGTACAGCTTTGGGGACAGGTAAAGGAACAGAGAGTGAGGGCAGGGATCACCTTCACAGCCACCCATGTGGCCACATCAACTCCAAGGGTCCTGTGCTAGCAAACATCTGGGAATCCTCATTCTTCTATGAACTGTTGGGGTTGGCAAGGGTGAGGAGTGCAGAGGCTGAGCTCTGGACTCCATTTCCTTGTGGGTCAGGTAGAGAAGCTCCTTTCCATAGCCAGAGAGCTTTGACCCCGGGGAACACAGGGGCATGGAAGCCTGACCCAAGTCCTCAGCCAGGCTGCACCCAACAGCTGAAACAACAACCTCAAATCCACACCCTGGAGCTATTGGCTCCAGGCTGTCCGAGGGCCGTGGTGCTGAACCAATCCACAGTGGGACAGGAGCCAGGTTTTCAGGGCAGAGTTATTTTCCTTCCATTTGTTTTCAGATTTCCAAAGATGACTGGAGTCCATTATGAAAAGGGAAAAACAACTTAAAAACAGCAGTGGGAATTCTTACCTTTCGAGAGTGAGGGATATACACGGATTCCAAAATCTCCTCTGGCTTAAGGTCTGCGCTTGCCAATCCAGCAAGAAAGTGTTCATTGAGAGGAATCTGCCGCGTACCTTCTGTGGAAGCAAATGATATTTTTTGCATAGTCACAGCCAGAAAAGCAAGATTATTCTGCACTTTTAAATGTTGGCAGCGAGCACAGAAGGTCCCCTTTCTCTGCAAAGAGGCAGGCAGAGGTCTGAGTCTATGGCACATCACCAGGGTCCCATTTCCTTTGAGCACTGAGGTCACCTGTGCCGCAGGCCTACCAGGCACATGGTCTGGTCTTTCAGCAGGGACTGGCTAAATAGAACCCGCCACAGCTTAGGATAGGGGCATAGACCTAACTGAAGCAGATACAGGGCTGTTTCCATTATTAACAGACTTCAGATCATTGGTTTTGCTTTTTGTTCTTGCTGCTGTTGGCTCCAGAGACAGACACCTAAAACCCTGAAGAAAAATGAGCGGAGTGTAAAACCTCCTTCCAGCTCAGCTGTCACCTTTTGGTGATCAGAGTCATGCCCTCTGGCTTGGAAATCTGGCTTATGGCACTGAAGGATGTGCTGAGAAGGGGTCAAAATTGCAGCCCAGGAGGGACACGGGTTCCATTCCTGGCACCATTAGTGTTATGTGGGTTGGAAGGCAGGTGTATTGAGAGAGACAGGGGACACCGTGAGAGCCCCTGTTGATCTCTGCCCACCTGCCGTGCTGCTGGTTCAGTGGGCTGATCTGCTACCTTCCCTGGAGCAGGGCCTACCACCCCTGAGGCAGAGACAGTTTTGGTTGAGCTAGGAAAGCAGAGGCCATAAGCTGAAGACAACAATGAACACCCAGGTAGAAGAACAGTTAGTACCACTGTAGGAGAAGGCCCTGGATGGTAACTGGGTTGCCCCAGAGTCTTGGCTTCTCTCTTGTCTTTGGGGGTTGAACTGGGTCATCTCAGACCATAGACCTGGRGCACTCAGAAAAAAGTCTGGCTTTGGTCAACAGGGTATACCCTACCTCTCCTTCCTCACTGMAGGCCTCAAAGACAAATGGGGTGATGTGGGGATGAATGCTTGTCTTTAGTCCTCAAGCTTCTCCTCATCACATCTGAATTCCCAGCAGTGAGGGGTAGAACCATGTTGGCCAGAAGTARCCTCAGGGAGGCATGTCATGCCTGGTTGGGCATACCCTGGAAGTCCGCATGGGCAGAGGTTGTGACTGCTCCTCTATGCCTRGGGCACTGTCAGCACCAAGGAGGTGCCAGCTAGTCAGTGGCCCACTGGGTGAGTGGGAGGGGCAGAGARAGTGAGTATTGGCGGGTTGTAGGTGAGGGAAGCAGAAGAGGAGTTCTAGAGCTGGAGGCCCTGTGGGAAAGGCAGAATGGCCTAGGGAAGAGAGGGTGCATACTTAACGGGAAATCAGACAGACTGGGAGTGACACCTACCATGGTCGGAAAGCATGTCCCCTCCCAAACTCACATAGTCCATGAAATTTAATTGTCATTATAAGGGTATTAAGAGATGTGAACCTTGAACTGTAGGTATATCAGTGACAGAGCACTTACACAGTATGYACAGACCCTATGTCTGATCCCCAGTGCCACCAAAAAAAAAAAAAAAAAGCAAAAAATTAAAATCAACTCCTCCCAAAAAACAGGAAATGTAACCCTTAAAAGATGATAAGGCCATGTTATTTCTGATACACGGATGCTAACACACAATAAGTGGGGTGGGAGCATGAATAGAAATACTTTGGATTAGACAAAGGGGAATGAAGGGAAAGGAGGGGGAAAGACAGTAGAATGAATCGAACATAACTTTCCTATGTTCATGTGTGAATACATGACCAGTGTAACACTACATCATGTACAACCACAAGAATGGGAAATGACACTCCATGTATGTATGATATGTCAAAATGCACTCTACTGTCATGTATAACTAACAAGAACAACAACAACAATAAAAATGATCAGGCCTGTGGGCTCCACATTCATGGGTGGGATTGGTGGTAAAATGAGCTCGGCTCCTTTTTACTCTCTCTGGCYTTTCTGTCTTCCACCATGGGAAAATGCAGCAAGAAGGCTCCTCCCAGGTGTCAGCAACTTAATGTTGGAGACTGTGTTCTCRCAGTCTTCAGAACTGTGAGAAATATGTTTCTGTTCTTTGTAAATTACTCAGTCTCAGTATTTTGTTATAGCTGCACAAATGGACTGAGACCACATCCCATTTTTTCTGCTGGGAGGTGTATGGATCAGAGATGGGCTGTGTCAAGTGTGCAACACAGCCAGGCCTGGAGCTAGCCTCCAGTCAAGGGGGTGTTGGAATCCTTGGGGCAGCCAGAGGCAGTGTGAGTGCATAGGGCACCTGGGGAACTGGGATGGGGGTTTAGCAGGGAGCTTCCCCCAGGAACTGTTCCTCTCAGCCAGCAATTAGACTCAATCACTGCTTTCCCCCTYGCCCCAGGGACCCATGATGTCCTTGAAACATCTGCTTGTGTCCTCACCAGAACCGTGGCTCCTTACATAGCACCTGAGGGGGAGGAGTGCCATGGGGAGCCTCAGACTGATGGCTGGTGGAGGAGAACTATGAGGAGGAGGAAGCAAGGAGTGGTCCCCTGGGCACAGGCAGGGTGCTCACTGCAACCTTGCTCTCACCCCAGCCTTACATGCCACCCCTGGTGCTTGCTGGCCAAGCACAAACAAGTGAGCTAACACCCGGGCTAAGTGTGGGTGTGCTCCTGGACTGTGTGTGCACACATGTTGTGTGGGGGGTCAGAAGAAAGCTCCAGCTGCCCCTCACATCAGTGTGCCTTCTCCCATAAGCTATTCTCCCCATGGAGAATTGACAGCAGGAACCTGGGCTTTGACTTAAAGTAATTTCTTTAAAAAAACTCATGAAAAAAGACATTAAATCTCTAGGTGGTGTGCAGAGTGTTCAGGGGTCGCTTACCTTCTGACAACAGATTGAGGGTGGCATTGCCCACAGCAAGAATTGGATTCAGGTCCGAATAGCAATGCCGGCTTATAATATGACCCCCTAAGGACTAAGAGGAGAAAGTTACAGCGGCGTCAGTCTCTCTCAATTCTTCCACCCCCTAGCTCCTGCTTATGGTCCTCTCAGTGGCTCTGAAGGGGTGAAGGGGCGTCTTGGGCAGTTTGGACCTTTCCTTCCTTGCAGAGGGACTCAGCTCAGGGAGTCAGCGAGGCCTCCTCCTCTGACTCCTTTGGATGGGAAGAGGAAGKGAGGATAACTGACCCTTCCTCAGCACTGGGCATGTTTCACGTGTGTGACCCACAGTGTCACGTCTCTGTCATGCCTACTCACGCAATCATCCCTACAACCAGCAGGATGGAGGCTGTTATCCCTTCTTTACCGGTGAAGACACTAGGGCACAGAGAAATCCTGAAACTTGACCCAGGTCCCCAGCTAGGACATGGCAACCCTGGCATTCGAACCCAAGTTGGCTTGGTGGCCAACTCTGACAGTGCAGGTAGCTGAAGCACAGCCACAGAGCTGCCAGCCTGCCTCCGTACTCAGGGCCTCATCCTCATGCTCTTGAGCTCTGGAATAACCAGTCTTCATGTGGACCACATCAGGGGGGCAGAGGAACCCACACTGTGGACAGGATTGCCCCTTGGTTCTGCTTGGGAGACCTTACTCAGACCTGATGAAGCCTGTAGCATCTCAGAACTCGGGAGGGAAATGACTGCCCAGCCAATACAGTGCTCTCCTCCCTGCACTGTGACGGGATCCACAAGGACCTCCCAGTTGTCCYGTGGTCTGAGCTAGAACATAGGTGAGGGCAGGGTCTCCCTTACCAACATACTCCTCTATGAACACCTTCATCTTCAAGATTTTTTCCCCCCTGAGCTGAAATATGCCTTGCTGGACTCTCAACTATGGGCCGCATTTCTACCCTTTGTGATCTATGGAGTAGCACATCTGTCCCCAGTGTTTTATAAATATTGGAAGGTATTTCTCATGCTCCCTTTGTCTACTCCCCACCCCTTTTTGTTATGTTTCCACCCTCTCTTGCTACCATCTCTAGGGGGTCTAATCAGAGTTCCTGACTGGGGACAGAACTCTTTAGAATCACTTGAGAGCTTTTTCAAAGGAAATGTGCCCTCCCCTGATTCCCCACACCCCAAGGATAATAACACCATCTAGGGTATGCATCTAGGGTATCCATTCTTCTGATCAATATTCTCCACTTGTGGTTTGCATAGTCCAGAGAAGCCTATCCTCCTTGGTGCTTCTGTTAATGCAACCTGAGAATAAGTTGGGTTCTTTGACAGGCTTGCCATTGAAAGTAACAAAATCATGACATGCTTTTTCTCATCTGTGCTGCTGTTTAGACATTCTGTTGAATTTGACTTATAGCTCATTTCTGGATATTTTATTAAATAATASTTGTTAATTTTAAATATTGATTTACTTACTCATCTGCCGAGACCTTTTGGCATACTGATTCTGCCAACACATATTCTGACATTTCAGTGAGGTTTAGAAAGAGGYGAGGTATACTCAAGTGATTGAAAGCAGGGAACATACCGCCATATTCCGGATTTGCTGGCCTGCCAGACTCCGCAGGTGCTTCAGAAGGGCCCGGTATGTCTGAGTTTTCTCCTCTGGGAGTTCAGAGAGGCTCTCAGCCAAGATGTCCTTCACCTGGGCCAGGCTGCAGGCAGCACCAATGGTTAGTCCTGGAAAATGAATTGGTTTTGTGTGACATGGAAGAAGCAATAGAATTGTAATCCTGGCACCAGGGTCTTAGCATTCAGCCATTACAACTGGCTCCATGGAGGGTCAGTGGGAACTCAAAAAGGGCACCAACATTCRCTCCCACATCAATTGAATTGGAGTCTCTGGGCATGGGGATTTTTTTTTGGAGGGTAAGGGTTACTGGGGATTGAATTTAGGGGCACTTGACCACTGAGCCACATCCCCAGCCCTATTTTGAATTTTATTTAGAGACAGGGTCTCACTGAATTGCTTAGTGCCTCTATTTTTGCTRAYGCTGGCTTTGGCGAKCCTCCTGCCTCAGCTTCCTGAGCTSCTGGGATTACAGGCATGTGCTACCATGCCYGARTGGGCATGGGGATTTTTAAAAGGCTCCCTARGTGACCTCCAGTGCAACCAGGGCTGGGAAACCCTGGATCACACCCTTTTCTTGACAGTTATGAGGAAATAGAGGTCAGAGAGAAGGGATGCCAGAGATGACAGTCAGTAGTAGATCCTACGAGAACTTTCCATGACTCCCTTGTAACAGACCATGGTGAAGCTGTGCAAGTTGCTGTGTGATTAAGAGATACATCTAATGGCATTAACACTGGCAAAGGTTGCAGAATGGAGGAGCCCTTGCTCAATGGCCATGGCCATTTGCTGGGCATTTACCAARAGCAGGGCTTATATTGGAGATAGGCATCTTCTGTAGCTCAGAAGCATCTCTCAAGAGCCTGAGAGCCATTCTYAGGAATGTAACCATCAAAAGGATAGAACCTCTGCCTCCAAGACTCCATGGGGGAACAGAGCCTTAATATGGATAATTACCAGCCAATAAACTCAGCTGGCTGAGTCTCTTTCACACTAACCAACCTATTGTGTGTTTTCCTCCTTTGACTCCAAGTCCCTGTGCTCCTCTCCTAGTTATTGGCTTTAGTTAGCTTTAAAACTCACACAGTGGAGTTCTAGGTTGAGCCTCCCCTTGCTTTGCTTATAGATAACACCTCTGACATAGGGGTCCTGATGACAATGGGTCCTGGTGACAATGGTTGCTGGGGCTCTTTTTCAGGGACCTTCAGGCTGCTTTTGTTGAAACCACAAAAGCTTCACTTGGGTCTGTGTAGGTGCCCAGTGAGTGACCTGTTGATCTCAGAAGGCTGGAAGCTCCACCCTCAGATCATGCTAATGCTGCCATTTTCTGAACACACAGCTCATGAGGAACCATGAGGTTTGACTATGCACGTGGGGACCACTGATCACTTCACCTCCAATCACCTCTCCCCATGCCTTAAATCACCCTGCTTCTTTATCTCATTATATCTTTAAACCTATCCTCAGGGAGGTGAATTGGAAACTTGAGTCTCCCGCTACATGCTTGGTCGCCTTGTGAGTAAGCTCTAAGWCTTTTGAAAAACTCATTATATAGTGATTGGTATACTGTGTATGTGTGTGTGTGTGTGGGGGGGGAACAGGCAAAATGGGCCTGGCTCTATGACATTCAATT